AAATTCTCATTATTATTTTACAAAATTGGTTTCGTTTTATTAAAGCTTTAACGGTTGGACTTTTCTTCCAGATTGATGCAATTTATCGCAAAAGAAATGTGTGTGTGAGACTTTTACTTCGTTAGTTTTCTCTTTTAAAATAAAATGCATGGTCATTTGATATGCTTGAACTTTTACAAGTTTACCTTAGTCGGAAAACGAGAGTGAGGATGGAGGATGCAGAGACACGACATGCTAATCTAATCCGAGTGACCCAAACCCCCATTGAGTAAAATAGGAAGACTTGATATGAAGTAGAACATGTATTCTGTAAGCATCCAGAAAGTACTAGTTCCGAGTCCAGAAGGGAATCAGGACCCCGGACAAGGGATCCGGGTCCGGGTCATAAAACGTTACAATGTCACTACAATAACAGACCCATTTCACAATTCAAGATTTGTCATGAGGCAAATACCTAATCTGTGGGAATAAATTTTGGTTAAGGTCAGAACGCAATAGTTGAGTGCAAATATTAGTTGCAGTTTAAAGGGAACTCTAAAAGGAGTATTGACTGTTTTGCCGACTGATTTCATTACACAATGTATGAAATGTTTTTGCTCAAAGTTACTGACTGTAATTATGTATGGATCGTAGGATGTAACGAGCTTAGAACCACAAATGTTACACATTTTTGAAACCATGAATCGATCAATGTTAGACCACCTTTAGAAACCTGGAAGCATTGAAAGACGGTCGCTTCGTCCTGGTATGGGACTCATCAGCAGTGCGCATCCACGACTCCTGCACCTCTCAGGGTTCGAACCCAGGACCTTCGGTATTGTGTGCGAACGCCCTAACCGTTAGACCACTCAGCCGGTATCTGGCGGTGTTAATGTCTAACTTGATCAAATTCACGGAGTTGCGCAGCCTCATACACAGTCTTCGGCAGACACTGCCTACACCCGAACAGGTTGTACTTCACTGGTCACGTCTTCCCACTAGAACTCGGAGAAGATTCCTCACGAAGCTAGTCACTAGTGAGCACAGGTAATTTGCATTACGGGGTTGTCCCAATACCAGGACGAAACGGCCGTCCACTGCTTTCAGGTTTCTGAAGGTGGTCTAACATTGATCGATTCATGGTTTCAAAAATGTGTAACTTAACAATCTTCACAACCCCGTAATGCAAACCACAAATGTTGCCAAAGTCTTTTAGAACTCTGTTGTAACAGATCTCAGAATAATTAGTTCTATGGGTAATCCAAAGTAATCCTTGCCTCTCTAGTTTTACTGGATAAATCCCTGGCTAAAGGACATTGTACAAACAGCCTCAGCAGATCAATTTTAGGTGCGCCATGCTGCAAATCTATTTCAACAACTAACTAACTTAGATTATGTACTTTCCGGTCTACTTACCATTTTCCAAATGTGTATCTGAATAGCTTCTTTATCCACTTCCTACAAGATTGACTTTGGATTTATCAGCTAAAAATATTCGTCGTCAGATATTGTATATCCGTGACATCTGTCCTGTGAACAACTTGTAGTGAATCCACTTTTATGAAGAGAACGCAATTGGTTTTAATAGAAACATTCATTATCATATCCAATTCTACCAGTGATTCCTCGAATGTACTGTCTCTGTAATTTCGCCGCACTTTAATGGCAAGATTTCGGTATTCTTTAGATATCACCAAATCATGAGCAAGATTTTATTCGAGAAGTGTAACTCAGTGAGACAACCTTGGAAAGATGAAGATAAAGATGATGAGGAATTCAGAAGATTAGAATTTGAGAGAACACAGAGTAGATGCACCTGCGCTATTGCAAATGATTTTGAGCCATTCCGTTCAAGGTGTCTAACCATCGGTGAGTTTCGTCTTGCGGACTCCAGCCATGTAGTCTACATCTACCAACATGACTCGGTTCACTTTTCAGTCATTTCATGGATTTCTGCAATACTTTCGTCCAGCAACCTGCGGATTTTTTCCAGCATACTTCTACACCACAAAACATCGCTCGTCAAGGCAGTCGGTGTTCAGGTATACTTAACACGTGACACAAACAACTCAACTAATGAAATTTCATTCATTGGTCTACCATCCATACCTAGCATTCTTTTCCCAAGGACAGCATTGTTTGCTCGCCTATTCCAGGATATACGAGCAATGCTTCGAAGACATCCATAATCGAATACTAATAACCTACGAATGTCTTCAACTCTTACCGGTCATGTTTCGCAGCCATGTAGTAGGACAGAACGAACTGCTGCGCAAAAGACATGACCTTCGGTTGGTAAACGGATATCTCTGCTACGCCATAAATGACTCAAGTAGGAAAAAACCATTCGAACCTTATATATCCATGCTGAGATCTCGTCACAAACCAGGCCATCAGCACCGATAGAACTCCCAAGATAAGTGAAGCGGTCCGCACTCTCGACTACTTCACTCCCTATCACTAGTTCAGGTGCCGATGCAACCCAATCTTGAAGCAACATTTTGCGTTTCGAGGGGGAAAACCGCATCCCGGACATGCTTGCATTGTTGCTTAGGGTATTCAGAAGACTGCATATTGTCAGCGTCCTCACCCAATAGAAATATGTCATCGGCACATTCGAAGTCAACAAGCGAGTCTCCTGGCAGAAGGTCCACCCCTGGAAAGTCAGATGAAGATAAAGTCAAATCCAAAAGCATGTCTACGACAAAGTTAAACAGGAATGTAGAAAATGAAAGCTTTCTCAACGTCATAAAGACTAGGAGGACTAACATCGATTTGCCATTCAGGATGACTGGGGATCGTGGGCAACCGAAGTGTGGCTGAAGGCCAGTCAAACTGATACCTAAAGTGTTCTGCCCATCGATCCAATCTCTTGGGTTGAGAACGAATGATAAAGCCATCCTTTTCTGAGATAGTTTCGCTAACAGATAAGTCGGAACAACTGTCTGCTGTTACCTATCGCCTCCGCCGTTTCCATCGCTTTTGCTTTCACCATCCACCACTGTTCGCGATCATTGCGTAGGCTTTTTATTGGCCTACGCTTAAGCTGACTTCGCCTTTTGTCCTGTCGGCTCAATATACTGACCCCTGATCCTAAGAATCTTTGATGGAAGGTCAGCATGAAGATCCGAAAAAACAGCCTTATGTAGCTATTCCAACTAATCGATCTACGAGTGACATTTAGTACTTTGGAAACAGGCTTAAATGCCGTTCATTTTACTCTGGTTGATTCAGCGAGCGCTTAAATTGACTTCGCTCTTCGTCATATTCAGAGCAAGATGGGATCAGTTTTCGAGCGTCTATCAGTTCGGTGGTTGCTACTGAGATTCACGTCTTCTTCCTGGCCTTATGGTTTAACTTACAAGCAGATATCACTGCTGTTTCCACAGCTTTTCGGATATCATTTCAAGCTGCCTCCGGATAGGAATCACCCACATGGTCGCCTAAGTGTTCTTCTAGTTGCTCCTAAAATATATTCTTAGCTTTTTTATCATTCGATAGAATGCTGAAAGTTTTTCTTGCGGTGTTTTTCCCACATTCCGTAAGTCGCAAACAAATAAGGAACCTGAAAAATAATGTAGAGTAGTGTTGGTCTGGGAGGCCTGGGAACTTTTCCGCAGAGCCCAAGGGACAACTGCTTGAGGCCGGTCACGTACTACTTTTTTATTTGAGGTTTTTGAAGCGTTAGCTCCGCTCTCGTTTAACAGGCCTTACCGCCGTAGATGAAAATCCGTAAGGTATGGTGAGGTGTGACAATTTTAGGGTCGACCTTTTCTAACCACTTCCTTCCTTATGAGAAGGCAGCATCGCTGCAGATGCTGTTTGTCCGAGGGAAACACCTTACTGCTGTCACAATCCACTACAGTTAGCAGTACGACTTCGCCCTCAGACCTTGAGTAGCTGCTTTTCAAAAGACTGAAACTGACCTATATGAAGTGGTAACAGTGATACGGAACTTTAATATTTAGTTCACGTCTTCACTTTGGAGCATATAGAGAATAGCGAACCCTATGGTTAGGATCTCAGTTTTGAAACGCAATTCTGACCTCTTACTTGTGGATAATCTGATACACCATCATGTACCATGCACTAAACCACAACCTAACAGCAACTTGTATTTCGAACAATGATTTTGATTTACAAACGGATGACTCACTATTCCTAGGTCTGATTATTTAATATAACGTTATCAAAAGTGGTTTATAACTATTTCTTACCCAAACGTCAAATTTTGTTTTTATTGAAAAAATTAGTAGGAAAGTGTTGACATTAATTCGGCAAAATAGTTCAAATTGATCTACTTATGAAACTAAAGGCCAAAAATTTCAATTAATAATGCATGTGAAATAACCATGAAACTCAGAGTAATCGGCCTCATTATAGCCAATTTTCGTCCACGATTCCCGCCGCTCGCGGGCTTCAAACCCAAGACCTTCGGCCTTGTGCGCGTACGCCTAAACCTCCGGACCACTGAGCCGGCACCCGGAGGAGTCATTGTAAAGAGACGTAATGTAAGGTTTCTTCCAGGTTAGGTCTTAAGAGAAGATAGGTTTGCCAGTGACTGACGTTCTCTACAAGAACTCATGATACAATCACCTTTACTGAGCACTATAGTTGTTGTTCGTCATCTTAGCTGAACAATGTTGTCCTGTCGCAATATCTTCACTACCGATTAATTCATTATTTATCCATTTACTTAGTGACTTCCAAAATCTTATTGGCATTAGAATTTCACCCTTATCATTATCTTAATTGCAACTAACTGATCACCGACCTGGTAACGTGACAGCTGCTAGTATCAAAAAACTCTATTGCCCTGAAACAAACATCCTCATTGAAATCACAGGAAGTGCAAACTCACAAACAACTGCCAAATGACTAGAATTAGTGTAGTCGAGCGTCTAGGCTGTCATCCGTGGAAACCGGCTAAGTACCTTCAGCTGTACCTAAAGAACAACAATCGAGCGCAAAGAAACAATTGTTTTATGACTACTCTTGAGAAGGATAACAGATATTGAAGACCAGCTGTGAGGTAAATTTAATTTCATATGACCTTGGGGTGTATAAGATGAAAAGTGAGTTGTTTGAGCCTTACGACTTATTTATTAACCAAAAAACAGTTGACTACTTGGGACGAAACTTAAAATGGTCTCCTCAGTTGAAGTACAAATATTTCAACTTCGGAGAAAATATCACCAATTTTTATAAATTCACATAGAGGATTTCGATAAATTCTAGGAAAAAATTCGTCCGAAGATCCCGAAAGTTGCACCAGTCTAATATTTTCCCAGAAATAAATCGTAGCTTTGAAATTTTCCCGACAATTGTATAGACAGGCTTCATGAAAACCCACAAAACATTTTTAAAGTTAGGATATTTTACTGCAACCCAACCCGAAAATATTTACCTGATAGTCACGAACTTTAGAAAGTGGGTTGACTTGGTACTTTTCATCAGTACTTGGATTGATTCTCCACACATGGAGTCATTCAGGGTCATCATGGTAACAAACAATATCTTTCAGGTACTCCTTGTGTTCCATATGGCTGTTCAAGCTAACAACTCGGAAGAGAAATAGTATTTAGCTTGAGGTAACTAACTTGAAATATAAGCTTGTTGTTGATTTTTATGGTAAGACAAAAGTTTGCGACACATACTTTGCGTCAATATTTCTCCAAGTTTGATAGCAGCTGTGTAAAGTTACACTTTATTGTTTGAATTTTTATGAAGGGGATTATATACGAGACTACCGTCAGAAAGTGTGACATAATTGTAGTTCGTCGGTTACAGTTTTGTTTTAAATATTTAACAGTAACTTAAGCTAACGAGTTTTCCACAGAGCTATGCAACAGCTTCAGGTCTTCAATAGCTTCCAGTGAGGTTAATGTTCCTATTCGGATCCGACAATCTCAGTGGTTTGGACAGTAATTTGAAGGTTGATATACTTTAAGGTAGGTGAATGCGTCCCACTCATAGCAGTAAAGTTGCTGGAATCAGCAGTTGTCGATTTACCGGTGAGTCGTTTGGCTGGTGAAATGAAAATTAGAGGTGGAGAGAGTGAAATAAAAATCAAAGTTAATTACGTGGTTATACAAAATATAAACAAGCACATGAATATAGCGTATTGGTCTGTATGTATATATTCAACCGATATTCCAGGTGAGTACAGTGCGTGATTACTGCTTACTCACTTATTCCCATGGGACCATAACATTTTTAACCAGTTGATTATTTAACAACAGATAAGCCCACCACTATATGCCGTTCCCTATGTACTTGGAGTTTCTAGTGGTTTTCATGTCAGCTCTTACCTGTTAATTGAACCATCCTCTTCATTTTTGAAGTGTACAGATTTCATTATCATCTAGAGTTCCCGCTCTTTGTGTCTACTGCCTCTTGTGCGAGAGCAGCAGTGTATCTCTCTTATGAGGTATTTAGTGTCTCTGATGATATGAATTTTTGAAAGCCACTATTCTTCGTGCACTTAAGTATCTAATTCTTAGTTTGAGAGTGACATTTATCGTCAAAATGGCATGACTGGAAAACAGAAGTTACACCGTGCCAAATGTTGTATCTCATCGAGCACATATTTTCTAAGTAGGCAATAAGCAGTACTCAGTTTGTTCAGGCTAATTATACCAATATATTGAGTTAATAGTTGATAAATTCTGCAGTTATGGGACTTCCTTTTGCCACTATCAATCTAAGGTTTCCAGAAGTCCGGAATGTGGTACGGTCGAGGATTGGCCTGGTCTGCTATCCTACGAAACGTTCTCATGTGGTCACGAATATATAGCCACTTCCAAGGAAGTCTTAATCCGCCTTCTCGCGGTGAGGGTATTGTTTACAAAGTTGAGGAGATAAAAAGTGAGCAACTGGCTCTTTGACCGGATTAATGGGTATGGAGGATTCACCTAGGAGAGTTGGAAAACCCTCATTCTGGACCAATGGTGCACATGGGTTTCAAGATCCTAATGGAACTAACAGTGTATGAATCTAATGTTCATCACTAGCTACTATGAGACCGCATCCTAATGTTGCTCCATCGCCTTGTGGATTAGACCTTTGGATCAAAAGCTTGGGTTGTATTAGCTCCCATTACCTACTTTGATTTGAGCACTCGGGCAGTATCCCAGCCCACACGCGAATTCAGTGATTTGTGTAATATATAATTATTTCAGTGCACCTTTGTACCAATGTTTGTGTTTAAATAAATAAAAATTCCTGATTACTTCACTATGCTATTTATGAAATAGTTTACTCACTTTCTTAACTTTATTTTATTGAGTAATCGATGAAAGCTTTTCGTTACCAAACACTATAGCGTTTCATTCTTTAATATGAGAAACCAGTCAACCCTTGCTGAAAATGTTGTCATCATTGAACCTGGTTCTTTTCATTTGCGAGTCGGCCGTGCTGTAGAAGTATTGCCAAAACGGTTTCCACACTGCATTGCTCGTAAACCTAAACCTAATGTTCCACCTTGTGTTGAACCTATTATTAACCGACAAAAAATTACCTGTGACTCATCTTCTCTCCAAGAATCAGTAAACATAACGAGATCATTTGTAAATACATTGTTTAATTTGAGCTACTCACCCAAATCAAGTGAATTACCCACCGTTACTCCATCTAGATTGGAACGTACTGAAGTTGAAGATACCAAGCTTTTTGAATGGGAATCCAATACACCATTAGGCCAAGAATTTTATGCATTGAATGATGCTTTCGATCGTGGTCTGAAAGATGGCTATCATATTAATTGGCCTATGCGTTATGGATTTCTATCAACGTCTGCGAACTACACCTCTGTGCTGCAAGATCTAGAAGATATTTGGTCTACAGCTTTAGAAAAACATGTACGTACTGATTATAAAAGTTGAATACTCAAATAATAATTATTTATTTTAAAGAGGAAACAATCATTTGAATACTTACTTATATGTAATTTGCCTAATATTTATTCAACTCTTTAAACGATGAAATACTTAAGGAAACTGACATAGTTATTGGGCAATGTTCATGGTATTCAAAATGATAAATCAATTCATATCAGTGGCCGAAACCACTGAAAACTTGGCTTTTAGTTTTGGAGGGCATCATGACTCAAATCTTAATGCTAAATACTAGCGATAAGATACAGATTTTTGTTTCTTCTTCCTTCGTATTTTTATTCCTTGATTATTTTTTCAGCTTATAGTGAAGAAATCAGTTCCTACATTCCTTTAATTATCCAAATATCTCGTTATTTATTATTGATCCCTAGTTTAATGTTGTTTTTACAAAACAGTCACTTAATTCTTATAATTTGATAGTCCAGTGTGTGGTATTTAGGTTTTTTGAAAAATAGACACTAGTCATGTTATTAAAACTTGTTAACTAAATATTGATCTTTGTGCTCTGGACCTTTAAGGTCAAATCAAGAAAAAAGATTTTTTATGAAAGACACCTGAATAAGTTAATAGAAACCTTATCCTTATTGCGTCTTGAGAAAATCACTGTTCAGACACATTCTTTCGAAAAACCTCACAAATCTATATACAGGGTAATAAGTTAGGGAGCATGTAAAGAATTTTTATTATTGGCTTATTTGTAAGTGTCATTAGGAAACCTCAAATTCAGGATTTTGTGAATGGTAATTAGAGTTGTACTTTATTGCTCTTTCTTGGCATAAAATCAAATTTCATAGTGCAGTTTATAAGCCAAGTAGGTTTACGTTGTGTTGGAAATTTAATTGGATTCTCAATGCTCTTAGTTTAGGTATTTGAATGAACATTGCCATTACCACTTATACAATAAATTCAGGTTTAGACTTAGTATGAAAGTCTACATTACCAAGGTAAATTGACTATATTCGAATGTCATAGTCTTATTTCAGTGTCTAGGTAGGTAAATTGACTATATTCGAATGTCATAGTCTTATGTCAGTGTCTAGGCGTAATAGTAGCAGTAAAATTAGAAGGTAGTGTTAAATCTTTACTCAATAAACATTTATTTATCGTTTAGGTCTCTAATTTGATCTCCAATGTATTTAACATTCTATTTTTTTTATTATCAGGTTGGTATTCCAGGATCAAATCTTAGTAATTATCGAGCGATTCTGGTGATCAATGATGTATACAAAAGAAATGAAATACGTCACTTAGTTCATTTACTACTTAATCGTTTAAAATTTGGACGTGTTTTTGTACATCAAGCTAGTGTTTGTGCTACTTATGGTATTGGTTTACCTACTGCTTGTGTTATCAATATAGGCGAACAAAAAACTAGTGTATGCTGTGTAGAAGACGGAGTAGCTCATACAGAAACTCGTATTATCTTACCGGTTGGACGAAGTGATGTTCTAAGAGTGTTTCACTCGTTTGTACTACCTAACGGATTTTGTAATAAAGAAGGCTTTACTGTGTAAGTTTATTATAATGAGTCTTGTTTAATCATTTTTTGAATGTTTGTCGTATTGTAAAATCTCTTTAAACTAAGAAATCATAACTACATTTCCCGAATGTTGCACTGAATCATATTCTCACATCTAGTCTATTTGTGATTAAAACAGTATATTCATCGATAGTTGTTGCCATTTGAGACATTGGTAAGCTTTTAATATCAAGTTAACAACCATTCTGTTTTATGTGCGTTTGTATGGTAACAACTGATATCAGGCACAATAATTCAAGGATCAGTATATTCGTCACAAAGCTTTATTATCATTATTACTATTATTATTATTATTGTTATTATGTGCGGTGTACCAGATATATATATATATATATATATATATATACTCCATCCTCTTAGGAAATGAACCCGTTTCCTGACCAATAATATGCACTCAACCTTATGCACATTTCCAATGATCATCGGATGGTCTTTTCATTTCCGTACTTTTGATTGGCTCACCATATCAATTATTGGGTTTGTCTCTGAACATTTTGGGAAGTGTATTACTAAAAACACCTCGATGAAATCATGTATCTGTCTATTACACCTTTGTGGGTAGTCAGGCGGAAACCCTCGGTTTATGCTTTTCCCTAGTTAAAACTCATCAGCAAGGCATACCTACAACCATGAATCTATTAAGGACCCCAATATTTCAGTAATGGCGTCTCATACTGTGCACCTGGGTTACTCGAGGCAGTCACAACACAAAACCTGTTATGTATGCACATCGGCTCAAGTCCCCACACTCCATTAGCACAGAGATATGAAATAGTGTGAATCCTAGAATAGTATTAGTGGTATTAGAAAAGATTAGGCATCGAAAATACGACTCAGGAACACATTAACATAGCTTAGTCACTGGTATGAGCTTTGCTAGTTAACACTAGGACACATTTGTTTCGGACCATATGTGGTCAGTGACATTACTTCTATCATTATGTTGTCCGTAATGTTTTGTACTGTTACATACGATTTCATCATCTAGTGTGTAACTGATGTATTTGTACATACTTAAGTTTAAAATCGATTTCGTTTAGAGATCTGAAATATGAACATCTGTCTGACGTGGAAGACTTGCGCACACTTATGGAGAATTCAGCTCAACGTTCAATAAGTTTACTATGTCAACAAAACGAGAAAAGCAAGCTCGGTGAAGAGATTCAATCAAAAGTTAATGAATCGTCATTAAATCATGATTGTTATAATATAACACTTCAGTGGACACATAAAGAAAATCAATATGAGGTTTCATGTCTTCATCCATCTACAGTTCTATTATCATATTTACTTCCATTTGCTTGTATTTCTTCATGTGTTCCGCCAAAAGAAGCCTATTGTACTTATCAAGTACCTTCACTACAATCATCTGAGCCGGATGATCCTTTCGATGAAATGTATATATCTCTAACAGCACGTGAACGTCGTAAACGTGGTTTGCCCAATGAACACCAATCAGCTATGCTGCCTAATAATGAACAGCAACCGGAAGCAGAAATAGATGTTGCGGAACAGGTGAAAAATAATGTTTTATATTGATTCAGTTTACAGTTGAAGCAGACAAATGCGAATATAGGATTTTACCCTTAGTTGTATCGTACTTCAATACGATAGTATATATCAAGACAAATTCAACATAAATGTAGAGGTTGATGATTAAACCACTTGCCTTTCAACTAATAGATTTTAAATTCAAATCCAACTCCATCTACCTTAGTTCTGATCAATCAAATGGTATCATTAGCTCTCATATAAGTAGTAACAACATAAACCTATGTATAGTAAATAACTTAACAAGGAGGGATTAAAGGTGCAAATAACAGAAGATTAATATAATTTCAAAGGATTAAAACATGGATGTATCTCCTTAATTGTGATTGATTTTTTCTTCTGTAAGTGTGGATACACTGATGCGTTATTTTATCACGACAGCTTCACCCACTAAGTTTCAGTTATCTTACACTTTTCAAAGGTTGCCAAATTGTACTGAAAATTTCGGGAAGTTATAAACTGGTTTCATTTCTTGGAAATTATAAGTATGTTATCATGGTTATTATAAATAACTAGGAATATGACCGTAAAATAAACCTACACTATTCTCGGATTTCAGCAAAATTATGACCAACAATTTAAATTAAAGGCTAATTTCATAATTATATCCTTATTGTAGATCTATGGAGTCAGTAAGTAAACTGTTAAAACTTATTTTTGCATTAAAGCACTTACCAGCATTCTTCCTTAAAGCAAATAAAATGTAAATTTCCAACCATAGGTTAATTTACAGGTTTATAAGTCAAACTTATTGTATAAATCCCATTCGTGCTAAGAGTCCAATGCATCCATAATTGTGTAGACCATTGAACCATAGCTCTTGATCTCACACCAGTCACTAATGAGTGTCATCCAAACGAACTATTTTCACCGAAACTGTTGACTGTCAAATAGTACTACCGGTTGATATGTCTTATAATTTTACTATGAAGTTAGTCAGTGGAACTTGTGTATAATAATTGTTTGTTTTCTTTTTACCGTACTATCTCTGAAGGTGGCGCCAGTGGGCAACTCCCTTCCACAAAGGCCTAACTACTTTGAATCCCTTCCAGAGGCAGTTTGGTGGAGTATCAATCAGTGTGCAAACTTAGTAGGTGCCCAGATAGGATCGGAGGTCACTGTTCAAGCCCCTGGCCTCGCTCCCGGAAAACCTTTGCAAAGTTCAAGCTCTGTAAGTGATGAACTACGTCGACGTCTGTTGGGATGTATTATTCTTACTGGCGGAGGTGTGGCTGGTATTAATAATCAAATAATGGAAAGATGGTTAACTGAGCAGCTAATCGCAATAGCACGGGAAAAACAAGCAGCCACAACTGCATCAAGCCATATACCAACAGTTGAGATCATTAATCACTCCGAACCTGCAGATCTTCCATGGTCTGGTGCTAGGTTGCTTCTGACTTCTGACCTAATACATGACTTGTGGATCACACCAGCTGAATGGAGCAAATTTGGTTCGAGAGCTCTTCGTGAAAAAGCACCCTTCCCTTGGTAACTTAAAACTATGAATTGTAAATTAATGCAAACATCTGTAATATTCCTCATTTCTGTTAATAAATATTAGAAAAAGCATCTGGTCATTCCTAGTTTTCTCTCTGCGTACCTTTCGAACAGGAATCAGAAATTGCTTAAGGAAAGCATGAATAATAACGTTCAGTCTTATCTATTTATAAAGCCAATTATGGTTCTTATATGATACAGGGTCTCATACCGTCTACTATGCATATAGCCTGAGTAATTCACATTCGAAAATAGTACCCTGCAAGTCATTTCAATAAGCTATCAAGATTAATATAAGTAGTAGCTTCGGGATTCTGCAAGAACACAGAGGTGTTGTTACTTACTTACTTACTTACGCTTGTTACCCCCAATGGAGTATAGGCCGCCCACCAGTTTTATCCAACCAACTATGTCCGACGCTTCCCTCTCCAGTTCTGTCCAATGTTTGTTCATTCCTCTCATATCTTTCTCTATTTCTCGGCGTAGTGTGTTCCTTGGGCTTCCTCTTTTCCTTTTACCTTGAGGGTTCCATGTGAGGGCTTGTCTCGTGACGCAGTTAGGTGCTTTTCGTAGTGTGTCCTATCCACTTCCACCGCTTCTTCCTCATTTCCTCCTCCACTGGAATCTGGTTTGTTTTCTCCCACAGTTCGTTGTTACTGATGGTGTCTGGCCAACGAATATGAAGTATTTTGCGTAGACAACTGTTAATAAACACTTGTATCTTCTGGATGATGGCTTTGGTAGTTCTCCATGTTTCCGCTCCATACAGTAGAACTGTCTTGACATTTGTATTCAAAATCCTGATTTTGGTTGAAAGTTGTTTGGAGTTCTAGATAGTTTTCAACTGTAGAAATGCAGCCCTCGCTTTGCCAATCCGCGCCCTCACATCTGCATCGGATCCACCTTTCTCGTCGATGATGCTGCCCAGATATGTAAAGGTGTTAACTTCCTCCAAGGCATCTCCATCAAGAGTGATTTGGTTGGTGCATGTTGTGTTGCATCGGAGAATTTTGCTTTTCCCTTTATGTATGTTGAGACCTACTGCTGCTACACTGGTCGTCTTCTCTTGCATTTGTTGTTGAGTGTGCGATAGAAGAGCCAGGTCATCTGCGAACTCCAGATCGTCCAGCTGCGTCCTAACTGTCCAGTTGACACCGTGCTTCCCTCCAGACGTCGATGTCTTCATAATCCAGTCGATCACCAGGAGAAAGAGAAAGGGTAAGAGTAAGCAACCTTGCCTGACACCGGTCTTCACCTCGAAAGAGTCTGTCAGCTGACATCCGTGCACGATTTTGCAGTTGAATCCATCATAAGAATTCCGTATGATGTTGACTATTTTCTCAGGCACACCGTAGTGTCGAAGAAGCCTCTACAGTGTTTTCCTATCCACGCTATCAAATGCTTTCTCGTAGTCGATGAAGTTGATGTAGAGTGGTGAGTTCCATTCAATTGATTGTTCCACAATGATCCGTAATGTAGCAATTTGATCAGTACACGATCGATCCTTACGAAATCCGGCCTGTTGATCTCGAAGTTGTGCTCAGAGAGAAATTGATTGATCGTGAAGTCATCATCTAAGGGGTTGGTTGTATGTGCGAAAATTGGCTATTTGGGAATTTCGTGGTTGCCTGTCATAGAAAAATATCCCTCTCGTTTGATAAAGTCCTAACAATCCCATTCGTTTAGGGGTATTGATTAACGTGAATAGAACACCCCAGTCCAATAAACATCCAAATAGTACGAGTTGTCGATCTCCCTACCTATTATAAATGTAGGAAGTGAGAAATTAGGCTGTTTCATCCATATATTTCTTAATAACTCGGTAATGAACAACAATTCTTAACGATTAACGAGTATCATTCATCAAAAATTGTATATATTACAGTTCTTTTTACGGATTAGATAGCTGGTTGGTTTGAGATATTCGGTCATCACTCACGTGATGGAGTAGACGTTGGTAAGATTTCTACCAAGACAAAAAACCGAGGTATCTAACTGCATCTACACGGTAACTAACATGGATCAACGAGCTCAGTTGGAGACAATGTGCGGAAAATAACAGTTCGCTCGACACAGGTTGTAACTGAAGGAATGTTCAAACTTATGTTTGATGACCAATGCACTGGAGATTTTCCAATAGAAGTGATTAACATTCGGAACAAAAATGATTATTGGTGGGATTGTGACTCACTTAAATCACGCGAATGAGAATAGATCTGCAGAACTATGTGATTTCGTCTAAATTTTTGAGAGTTAGCTACAGCGTAGAACTTCGTACCTACGTACATCAGTTCAAGTTGCCATGCCACATCAGCACACAGATCGAACCGTCAACTCAAGTCTCATGGTCGTAGAAGTATTAGCAGTAATGGAGAAGATTAGGTTCGGAGATATCATTCGGGAAGTATTTCTCAAAAGAATTGGTTTTAAAAAAGGTCATGAGGAATTCAGAAGAGTATAACTTGAAAAAAGACAAAGAATGGATGAATCTGAACCATTTGCAAACGATTTTGAGCCATGTCATTCAAAGTCTCTAACCGTGGGTTGCTATCATTGCGCGGACCCCAACCATATAGTCTACATTTACCAACATGGATCAGTTCACATGTCAATGACTTCATGGATTTGTGCCATCTTTTAGTCCAGCCGACCGCTACACCACAAAACATAGCTCGTCTGGGCAGTCAAGATACGTAACACATGTCCCAACCATTTCAACTGATGAAGATTCACTACATCAATTGATTTGCCTTCCTTATCTCGTATCCGTTTCCTAACAACAGCACTGATTACTCGACAGTCCCAAGATGAGCAAGCAATGCTTCGGAGACACCTGTGATCGAAAACTAGTAACCTACGAATATCTTCTACTCTTACTGACCATGTATCAAAGCCATAAAATAGGACGGAGCGAAGTGCTGTGCAGAAGACTCGTTCTTTGGTTAGCTAACACACATCTCGCCTACGCCATAAGTGACGCAGGTTAGCAAAAGCCAATCGAGCCTTCTGTATCCGTGCTGAGATTTCCTCGGTCACCAAGCCATCAGCATTGATGAGACAACTAACTCTACTACTATGGGATTTGAATTGACAATTACATCTCTGTGCTAATGTGGTATGGCAACTTGAACTGATGTACGTACGTACGTACGTACGAAGTTCTACGTTGTTGAATCAATCAATCAATCGACTCCCAGGATAAGTGAACCGGTCAACACCCTCAAATACTGCATCCCTATCACTAGTTCAGGTGCTGACGCAAGCCAATCCCGAAGCAGTATTTTGCATTTTGAGGGGGAGAATCGCATCCCGGACATGTTTGCACTGTTGCCTAAGGTGTTCAGAAGACTAAACATTATGTCAGCGTCTTCACCGAGTAGAACTCTTTCATCGAAAAATTCTACATCAGCTAGTCTGTGACGAAGTTAAACGACAATGAAGAAAGTAGACATCCTTGACGGACACCACTTAAAGTAATGAATTCCGATGATAGTTCGCCATAAGCTCTGACTCGGCCAGTAGTGTTCCAGTAGAGAGCTTGTATAGGGTTAATGCACTTCTCTGGTACTCCTTTCAGTGACAGACACTGACATACAACCTCACCGTAACTTCTACCTTGACATGGCGACAGGGCTTGTCTATCATGATGACTCAAATGAGCGATATTGGCTGGAACATATGTTCCTGTAGGTCCTGCCATGCCAGGCAGGTCCACTGGTGAACGATGAGACTAGAAGCAGCAACTCAAGATCTGACGGTGAAGTCGTACTGCTGACTCTAGAGTTGTGACAGCAGTAAGGTGTTTCCGTCGGACAAACAGCATCTGCAGCGATGTTGCTGTGGTGGCCAATTTCGACGTGTTCTTAATCTTCGTAATTAGCTCGTCCAGACAATCATTACTAAATAGCGTCTCACGGTTCATGAATCAGAAGGTAAACTTGAAGTGTTGAATACGTTTATTCCGGTACACCACAAAATGGGATAGCAGACCGGACAGGCATACCAGCGAGCGAATGTGCGAATGAATTAATAAGATTAAAATGTTCGTATATATACAAAGAAAAATGTCTGAGTCATCGAGGTATTTAAGAGATTAACATTAACGCGAATAGGATGAATATGCGCGTAGGTGTAAACAATGTTCAGTCATACCAGCTCATACAAACCACACAAAATAAAAGCCAATGGTACATATAAGTTATTGTTAAACAAATGGCTTGGTTAAATAAATTAATCGAAAGGCCTATTAAACAAGAGCGGAGGCCGTGCGGGACCGACCTCAAGCAGTTGTACCTTGGGATCTGCAGTCACGCTCCCAGGTCTCTAAGACCAACACTATTCTACCTTCCTTTTCATATTCCTCAAGAAACACCCTTCCACGGTGTGGGCAACCGGGAAATGACAACCGCCCTCATACCCGTACGAGCACATGGGACCAAAGTTGTCACAATCAAATCCTTCCAACATCCCCCTTATCTTCACGACTAACTCTGATCACATTGATTTATTACCTCGTACCGCTAAAGCAAATGATTTGAGTTACCGAAGCGTTATTCCTCGTCTCCTGAAATCTGGTTCTAGACTACATGTTGGAGCTTTCAATGTCCGGACATTGTATCGAATAGGAAAACAGGCTTCATTAGCTAGGACTGAACGGGAAAGTAATGACTCGTAAAGATAGGGACACTCACCGTTGCCTCTTCGTCATATCTGCCTAAGCATCCACTGACTGCAGTTCAGACGATGTGAAAGATGTGCCCTACAGAAAGCTTTCGAACCTCCTCCGAAAATTTTGGCACTGTGATATAGTAAGAGTGGCTAGTGACTTCAATGCTAAGACTAAGTAAATAAGAAAGACACCTGGGTGGATGTTACGGTATCGCGGCTGATCGAACACATAATGGTGACCGTCTGCTGCAACTATGCTCAGATAACCGCCTATTTCAAGCAACCACTATCTTTAAGCATGAGCAAAAACATCTCTTGACCTGGCAACCCCTAAAGTTGTCTCAACGCTGGACCCAACTACATTACATCGCCATCAGCCACAGATGGAGGGGTTCAACAGAGGACTATCTTCCGTTCTGGGGAACACGTTTAGATTCGGACCATGCCCTAGTGCGAGCGCGTATTTGTTTGCGACTTACCGGATGTAGGAAAGACGCCGCAAGGAAACCTTTCAGCGTTCTACCGAATGATAAAAAAGCTAAGAATATATTTCAGGAGCAACTAGAAGAACACTTAGGCGACCATGTGGATGATTCCCATCCGGGGGCAGCTTGAAATGATATCCGAAAAGCTGTGGAAACCGCAGTGATATCTGCTTGGAAGGTAAACCATAAGGCCAGGAAGAAGACGTGAATCTCAGTAGCAACCACCGAATTGATAGACGCTCGAAAACTGATCCCATCTGGCTCTGAATACGGCGAACAGCGAAGTCAACTTAAGCGCTCGCTGAATCAACCAGAGTACAATGAACGGCATTTAAGCTTGTTTCCAAAGTACTAAATGTCACTCGTAGATCAATTAGTTGGAATAGCTACATAAGGCTGTTTTTGGGATCTTCATGCTGACCTTCCATCAAAGATTCTTAGGATCAGGGGTCGATATATTGAGCCGACATGACAAAAAGCGAAGTCAGCTTAAGCGTAGGCCAATAAAAAGCCTACGCAATGATCGCGAACAGTGGTGCATGGTGAAAGCAAAAGCGACGGAAACGGTGGAGGCGATAGGTAACAGCAGACAGTTGTTCCGACTTATCTGTTAGCGAAACTATCTCAGAAAAGGATGGCTTTATCATTCGTTCTCAACGCAGGAGATTGGATCGATGGGCAGAACACTTTAGGGATCAGTTCGACTGGCCTTCAGCCACACTTCGGTTGCCCACGATCCCCAGTCATCCTGAATGGCAAATAGATGTTAGTCCTCCTAGTCTTTATGACGTTGAGAAAGCTTTCATTTTCTACATTCCTGTTTAACTTTGTCGTAGACATGCTTTTGGATTTGACTTTATCTTCATCTGACCTTTCAGGGTTGGAACTTCTACCAGGAGACTCGCTTGTTGACTTCAAATGTGCCGATGACATATTTCTATTCGGTGAGGACGCTGACAATATGCAGTCTTCTGAATACCCTAAGCAACAGTGCAATCATGTTCGGGATGCGGCTTTCCCCCTCCAAATGCAAAATGTTGCTTCAAGATTGGGTTGCATCGGCACCTGAACTAGTGATAGGGAGTGAAGTAGTCGAGAGTGCGGACCGCTTCACTTATCGTGGGAGTTCTATCAGTGCTGATGGCCTGGTTTGTGACGAGATCTCACCATGGATATATAAGGTTCGAATGGTTTTTTCCTACTTGAGTCATTTATGGCGTAGCACAGATATCCGTTTACCAACCGAAGGTCATGTCTTTTGCGCAGCAGTTCGTTCTGTCCTACTACATGGCTGTGAAACAAGACCGGTAAGAGTTGAAGACATTCGTAGGTTATTAGTATTCGATTATGGATGTCTTCGAAGCATTGCTCGTATATCCTGGAATAGCCGAGCAAACAGTGCTGTTCTTGGGAAAAGAATGCTAGGTATGGATGGTAGACCAATGAATGAAATTTCATTAGTTGAGTTGTTTGTGTCACGTGTTAAGTATACCTGAACACCGACTGCCTTGACGAGCGATTTTTGTGGTGTAGAAGTAGGCTGGAAGAAACCTGGAGGCTGCTGAATGAAAACATAATCAAAAATGATTATGTTAAGGCTTAGTGAGTAAGAAAAGTTTAGGTTCAAGATGATTAAAATGGTCGTTTGAAAAAAGACGGAATAACGTACTAAGATGACATTCTGCCACCAGTTCGGTGAAACTTTAGCTCTGATCACTCTTACTCCGAAACCGCCAGACTCAAGGATAGTCAATGATTTCAGACTGCTTATTACACTGAATGGTACTTTATCTGTCTGGAGTCTTGTGTCGCTAACATATCCGGTAATTTTTGGCAAACATATTGCTTCCTATTACATAAAGGCCTCTTAAAACAAATGATTGTCTTTTCAATATATATTTGCCTCCGAATCGTATGGCTATTTTCTAGTTGTATAAACCTCGAAATGGGAATTTATTACAATGAGAACGTCATACGTCGACAGTTATTTGCCTAACCTTTAAACTGACGACTATATGTATGTGTTTAGACGGAAATACTGATTCGATATCGGTACATAATTCACTATGTGGACGAAGTTGCATGATGAACATAAAATACACGCAACTTTTCGCGCTACACATTCTATGAAATGTAACACACGCTGAATTTTATTATATCATATATTTTATAGTCACACAGAAGCTGCTGACATTATATCAACTGCAGAAAAAAATAAATATATTATGTATAATGTAAAGGATAAGTCACACAAATTTAAATAATACATATGACTATTAAGCACATGCGCAAAAAAGTCAAAGAAATGCAAATTAATGTGCGTATATCTAAACAAAAAACAAACTAGTGTACATCAAAAAAAAATAAAACAATTATTATATAAAATGGTCCACCTTAATTGGGTGATCATAAAAGGGAGATAAAATATAACACTTGTAAGACCAGAACACACATCACAATAAATGCTACAATGCATTTTTGAGAAAATATTAAGATGCGGCCGACGAATTCTCATTCGTATTTTCTTTCATATCATTTTCAGCTTTTTCTTCTTGCTGGTCAGAAGTATTTCCATTCTCAGACACTCCGTTAGTCAACTTCTGATTTGACATTTTGTTTGCCAACTCAGTAATGATATCACAGAATCGTGTACAGTGTTGTTCAGGTATGGTGACCGAGGAACGGATGTTAGCACGAACTTCGGATATACGCAGAAATACACCAAATCTATTTGAACCAACATCGAAATAAAATGTTTTGTTGCCTACGAAGAGTACTTTAGATTCAGGTAAATCTGCAAATATATCTGTAATAAAACATATATTGTTCTGTATAATCATATTTTTATGTATTTATATTGTTTAAATGTGAATACGTACTAGCTGTGGTGAATAGTTAGCACTAATAAAAAGATGCACTGTTATCTTTGGCAGTGGAAGTAGTACTGTTTGGATATTTGAATTAGTTTTGATAACTACAATAAAAACTGGTATTCTCGTTATTCAAGTAGTCAGGAATGTGTTGTGTAATGACAAACACATTCTATGGACAACTACTGCGAGCAATGATGCAGATAAATCTGAACTACTAAACTTAAATGAATTCCTATCATGTTGACGGAAATGGCGTGCACACCATTTAACATATAGGTAGGAAACTTGAGCAATACTATGTAATTCAGTAACGAAATATAATTTAAATTAAAATGCGTCACACGTATTACGCAGCCCACATAAAAAGTGCTTGGTCCACTAAGAAGTTTTTTCGAGATCACGGGAATTTCGCTACTGAATTTAGAATATTGGATTCGTCAATGGGATTCCTGCATTCATAAAACCCGCATGGAAAAAACAAAAAAGTGGCTGCATGTCTATCAGGTTTGTGTTGAAGACTGCTGCGGTTATGAATCTGCTTGTAACTCATCCCAATGATTCAGTCATACGCAAAGTAAACCTGGCACATGTGTACATTGGTTCTAGTTATCACATTTTTAGCACAGAGAGATGAAATTGTCAGCCGAAATCAGAGAAGTAGAGGTAGTAACAGTATTAATGGTAATGAGAATTGGGGGTTGAAGATGCGATCTGAGAAAAAATAGGTTAATGGAAAAAAAAGGAAATTCTTAAGTTACAAACTTAGGATTCTAGGGGATATAACGGGTAAATGCTTATGCACTATCAAAAACGATTTTGACCCATGCCTCCAAAATCTCTAACCATTACGTACAATAATCACGCGGACACACATCAGGAAGTCTGTACCCACCTACATGGCTGTCAGAGTCAGAGTCATTATGGACTGATGTCGAATAATTCAACTCTTGTACATTCGTAGACAAATGTTGATCATAGAAACACTGATAAGTGAATATAAAAGTGATGAAGGGATAATAAGATAATCGGTTGTACTTTACAAAAGTGATCTAATTTCTGAAGAATCAGCACAGTAAACATATAACAAATACTGTATAAAAAGCCAGGTTTCACAGAAAAACCTTACCATTCTCCATATCTCCTGAATATCCCTGTATGAGATCAGTCAATGCATTGCGCAATTCGATCATGCCCTGAGCTGGGATCGCAATCTGAACGCGAGCACCCATAGAAAGCATAGCAAGACGTAAGAAACGACCACGTTCATTTTCTTTGAGATCAAGATAATAGCGCCTGCTATCACGAACAATAATGTCAGACGCAATGCGACCATCTTGTGCGAGTGACTCGCGATTATGAGATGGAAGTTGGCTATACGTGTCACTAAGTTTGTTAATTTTTTCTTTCATTTCCAGAGCAACAGGCATTGACATTAAGATGCGCGATTTCTGTCCTCCATTGCCGACTTCAGTTATTTTTACAAAACGACCTCTTTTGTTTTGCTTGATATCCAAGTAAAATCGTTTATTTTGTATACGAAGGGCTTTGGAGGCCAACTCTTGTTCCTCTTGTTGACCATCTAATGTGTTGTGTTCATTCTGTAATTGTAACTCACCTTTCGGACTTTTCACAGCAACAGTTTCTGGCATTGCGCAAACTGAAACCTTCTCTAAGATACCGAACTACAACCAGCTCCAATCCAACCTCTACAGTAAAAAGAAGTGGCAATGAGTGCTCAAAAACTAATAGGGATGGGAGCATTTTAACCTGACTGGTTTGGATTAGTGCAAACAGATAAAATAAGATCAATGTGGACTTTTGGTACTAACATTCACTTCGATCGAATTAATCACAACACACATTTGTTAAATGTCTTTCCCAAGCAGAGTGTACTGTATAGGTTATATTTCATCTTATTTTGGAAAACAGGATTTGAACAACGCAGATGGACAGAAAGTTGTCTAGTTTCGTACTTGCTTGCAAAAGTAAAGAAAAATTGTGAAAATGCACATGATATATGGCCACAGAATGGACCAGGTTTCTACAGGCATATGATAGATTTTTTCTACACGCTTGTATCGGATTTACAATACGAGACTCCTCAGCTTCATGGACACATCTCAACATTCATGACAGGACATACACTACTAAAATGGATGCGACATAGGCAACCACGTCTAAATAATGACCCATAGTTCGAAGACAAACTGGTCAATCTAGATGTCTAACAAATATTAGACATATGATATACCATACTTTGAAACTACATCATAGGTATCAAATCAGAATGAAGTTCTTACATCATCATCAACTAGTTTTATCACAAATATATTCGTCCAATTCCCAATAATTAAAAAACCTAAATGGCTAGATGTTGTTCTACCATAGATTTGGCTCATACAAACCTGACTGCATAAATGACTTCTGACTTCGTTCGGATTATAACTAAAGTTGACATATGATGAGGATATAACCGACCAGGATAACCCAGTAACAGAAAAGTGAAGAACTTAGCCGAAACAATCATATTACAGAAGTGGGACTATAGGTAATTAAATTAACTTGGTTTGTAACTTAGAAGTGAGCAATATAAAAAAAATTATAGGAATTGAACCCCAGAATAAAGTAGACGACCAGAAGGGAAGTAGCAATATTGTTAATATTGCATGACTCATGTGATAAAAGGTTAACCTGGATAGGATACTGAAAGCATGACCAGACTAAGTCGCTGGAAATATCACTCAATGTATCGTCAGTCAGCTACAGGTTGCCATACCGCATTAGCACACAGACGCAACTGTCAGTTCAAATCCAATAGTGGTAGAGATAGAAATATTAGCAGTAATGGAGAAGATTAGGGTTCGATGATATGATTCGAGAAGTATAATTAAGTGAGATAAATTTAGAAAGAAAAAGATAGAGATGATGAGGAATTCAGAAGATTAGAATTTGAGAGAACACAAAGAGTGGATGCACCTGCGACATTGCAAACGATTTTGAGCCATGTCGTTCAAGGTCTCTAAACAACGGTTACTTTTGCATTTCAAGGGGGGAGACCGCATCCCGAACATGTTTGCATTGTTACTTAGGGTATTCAGAAGACTGCATTTTGTCAGCGTCCTCACCAAATAAAACTGTCATCAGCATGCACAGTCGGCAAGCGTGTTTCATGGCAGAAGGTTCACCCCTGAAAAGTCAGACGTCTACCTGGTTGGGGTCCGCAAGACGAAAGTCACCGATGCTTAGAGACCTCGAACGACATGGCTCAAAATTGTTTGCAATGGCGCAGGTGCCCCCACTTTTTGTGTTCTCTCAAATTCTAACCTTCAAAATTCCTCACCACCTTTACCTTTCTCTTTCTAAATTTACCTCACTGAATTATACTTCTTGAATCACATCGAACCCTAATCTCTCCGATTACTTCTAATACTTTTACTACCTCTACAACTATGGGATTTGAATTGACAATTATATCTGTGTTAATGTGGTATGGCAACTTGAACTGCTGTACTTACGCGCTAAGTTCTACGTTGCTGTTGATGAGTCTGCTCTTCGATTGAGGCGTAGGAGTAATGTTGAGGACAATATTTTAGATACTATATCAGTTAAACAGATACCTCTGTGATTGTCACAATCAGCGATTGAGACCAGTAGGTTAGGATTACGTCGTGCCCGGATTCTACACAAAATCTCAGCCAATCTTACTGTTTGAACTGGACCACCATCCTTAAAAATCTCAGGAGTTAGCCTGTCAGAACCCGCTGCTGTCCCTCGCTATAAATTTACTATAGCTTTCTCAACTTCATAAAGACTAGGAGGACTAACATCGATTTGCCATTCAGGATGACTGGAGATCGTGGGCAACCGAAGTGTGGCTGAAGGCCAGTCAAACTGATCCCTAAAGTGTTCTGCCCATCGATCCAATCTCTTGGGTTGAGAACGAATGATAAAGCCATCCTTTTCTGAGATAGTTTCGCTAACAGATAAGTCGGAACAACTGTCTGCTGTTACCTATCGCCTCCGCCGTTTCCATCGCTTTTGCTTTCACCATCCACCACTGTTCGCGATCATTGCGTAGGCTTTTTATTGGCCTACGCTTAAGCTGACTTCGCTTTTTGTCCCCACCGACCCCTGATCCTAAGAATCTTTGATGGAAGGTCAGCATGAAGATCCGAAAAAACAGCCTTATGTAGCTATTCCAACTAATCGATCTACGAGTGACATTTAGTACTTTGGAAACAGGCTTAAATGCCGTTCATTGTTCTCTGGTTCGAAATTTCAAGTAAAAGAACCCAAACTGAGAATTTGAAAGCCAGGGACTTAAGCTAAAATTTGGCTACTGGATACAGTACGAACTGATTAGGATTATTTTACTAACTTCTGTAAACACTAGACGGGGATTTAATGGAAACTCTCTCCACCTTCAGTGGAAATCAAAACCAAGCCATGCAAGGTTGGAACTATTGCATGTTCCGTAATAGCATTCTTACAAAGCGCTCTATCAGTGACAAACTTGTATTTTATAACCATCGAAATGACTGATCCACTTATGTTTGGTGAGTACGGCAACATACGACAATATTATCTACGTTGTGTATATGATGATATCCAATATCAGTGAGACAAGCTATTATAACCAATGACAAAGGGCTGAAGAACCAAAGACGAAATTTGAGAAATACATGTAGCATCAGCTAAGAAAATCTGGTGTCCATTCAGGAAAACGTACAACTAAGCCCCTTTCCTTGTTTGCGCTGGGAAAATAATAAGACATTCCGCCTAAACACCTATTATGATGATAATTTTATAAATTCACATATCATCTAACTTTCACATGACTTAATGCCAAATTGCCTATCGTTCTTCCGGATGACTTCTTTGGTGTAAAGCATCAAATTTTATAAGTGGAACTTATAGAGCATTCTCACTTTAAAATAGTTGATCACAAAGAGAACTGCATTACTGAAAACTACCGGGATGTTTACTGAATGAGACTCAAGTGACACTGAAAATACAAACCTTCAGTACAGAGCAAGCAATCAGCGGCCTAGGCGCTTAAAGTTTTCCCTGAATATTTAAACAAAGACAGTTGACTAAAACTATCATGCAGGAAACACTAAAAGTAAGCAAAATCCTAAAATAAATACATTTTATAAGCGATTTTTATTTCGGATGTCATTTGTTTATGAATAAGGCTGGTTGATGGTTTAAAATAAAGAGTAATTTCACATTCGAATACGCATCACAATATTATACTTAGTATCAGTTTTGTTTGTCTTTTTCCTCGTGAAATTTACTATCCTTGAAGTCATCACTATGACAATTTACATCAAGAATTCTAATGCATCTTTATAATAAATGTCCAGGGCAACAAAACTGAATTATAAATCAAGGAATATACCTCCTCAATTAGTACTTCATTAAGACCTGCACTAATATAAGTTGAAAGCCGGTGCAAATTAGATGGTCTTTAGATAACTAAACAGAATCATAGTCACCTAATTGCATAGCTTTTTAAAATTAAATTTATACCAAGAGGAACTTTCATAGTCCTTAAATTGATACAAGTAGTTACATAATGGCGAAACTAAGAATCGAAGTCGAGTGCTGATTTAAATATTTTTATCGATGAAGTAATAAGAAATAATTAGTCTATTCATCGCGTAACCCAAGATTCGGACTAGAGATTAAAATTTTACTAAAAAGGGACTGGGGAGAAACTGGAATACAATGAAAGAAAGGTTTTGGAACGTGAGTTAATGTTTTTGTACTACAGGTTACGGTAGATTCAGAAGTTGTACAAGTCTTTTCTGATTTTAAAGGTTTTGTTTATTGACGTTTATTATTATGGCTACTGTTGTGTAAAAGTCAGATTCTGAAATCATTGATTTAGTTTGGAATGATTTTATAAATTATGTCTAATGCTGAAGTTTATTCTCATTTGACCAGTACTGACTAGATGTGACAGGATGAAGACTTTTATTGCCCTTTTTCCTTTGTTCAGCCCTTAGAGGAGTGATGTTCTGCAATACGATGATGAATTTGTCTAGTTATGCACCCAGTATAAATAACTCTTCAATGGCAGTTTGAATGGTAAATGTACATGGAGGCAGATTAACTAGGTGATTTATCTTTTTATCATGTTCTTACTGCTGTCCAGCTGCATTGCATTTGCATCCGAAGGCTTTTAGTATTCGTCAAGTTACTCTTTCCCTAGCTTTATGACTTTGGGATGAAGAGTTTTTAGTACTGTCGATTCCAGATATAAACTTAACTAAGGACTTTGTCGGATGCCCATGTTTCCTTAAAAATCATAAGTTTTACTTCCTCGTCAAGTCTATCTTCATAACAATTAATTTTAGCTCTGTAAGTCAATCGTTAGAATAAGTTTCGCTTGTATTGAAGTGGGACAAAGCTTTGAGTGGTCAGTGTATGACAGATACTTCTATTCTTTGATCCACCAGTTCTTCTCATGTGTAGGACGTCCAGAAAGGCATTAGTATCAAGCATTTCTTCTTCCATTGTGAAGCTAACTGCTCAGCGGACCATATTGAATGTCTTAATCAGGACCTGACTCACTGACTTGTTTTTGTGACTATAAATACATAATCCATTCAGTGACATCACAATTCTAGTTCATCATATCTCTCAGACGACCACTTTCTAAGTATACAAGAAATAAATTTGCCTCCCTTAGACCTAACGTTAACCATATAGGGATGCTGTCGAATTGCCTAAGGAATTGGTTAAGAAAAAAATATATATTCATGGTACACATGACAACTAATTCACTGGAGAGGGAATATGAATGCAAATTCCCTGTACCCAATCTCGTACTTCACTCGATTCAACGTCAAATGTTTTTATGAGAGGTACATTTGTGATACAGAAGGTATATGGAGTGATACCATGGACATCCAACACTTCCTCGATTGTCAAATTTGGAACTCTTTATCAATGTGTCAAACGACTTCTTTGTGTAGTTGCCTTGGAAGTTCAACTAGCCATCTCGCGGTTGCCTGTTAATGTGGATTGACCATATCTAGGAATCGGCAATATGATAGACCAGTTTTATGTACTTTTGTTAGGCCATAAATAACTCGGGCTCATAAATTAATCTAGAGGATTGTCTTACTCTGAAATTAAGGATTTGTGATGGGACGAGTTGCAGTTGACTATGATCAACACTAAAGGCCGATGACCAACCAATCACCAGGTTAAATCCCTCCGTAACCAGAAGGAAGATTGGAGGTAGTGATTAGTACATATTTGTTGGCGATCTAGAAACATCGGAATGATACCGAGATCGTGCCAATGTTGAGGTCGCAAACAATGAATAGTGTTGGTTTTCTAGTAGAGGTAAACAAACAGATAAAACAGTGACTGCTATAACTGATTATAATAATAAATAATTCTAATAAACCAATCGCGTTCACTTCATAAAAGTGGGTTACTAGAGATTCGTGGGTTGGTATTCAAAATTAAAGAAATATTATTCCAACTTTCAGCAAAATAACGTGGCCCTTTATTCATGGAACTACGAAAGGTTTCTCATGTGTTTTAAATACTCTGTATTTATGGCATAAATTGTTCCGTGGAGCGGACGAAATAATTGGCCAGGATGATGCTTCCCCAGTGGAGGTGAACTAAACTCAGATTTCCTCGCAAACCTATGTAAATGGATTTTCTACTCTAACAGTTCACTCCATTTCGAATAGGTGCAGTTTGGTACGCGCTCCCCCCGGATCCGAAACCAAAACACAATAATTCTGGGAGAAAACGGTCCTATTAATCAATAAAAATGGAAATACAGACAATTACCAAACAATATTACACCTAGTTCCAATTTACCGCGGTGGGTATCCGTTTCTGGAAGGATAAGTGCTTCCAGTCCGTACTGTCGAAGTATCAAATCCAAATATGGCTGTAGCCATATTAAATATCAAATTTAAACAACATATGTACAGTTCAGAAGCAAACATAAAAACTTCAATATAAGTACAAGATATAGAAATAATAACAATATACAATGATAAAATCTTAAAATGGAATCAAATGGAGTACCAAAATGTCAACAGAAAGAGTCAGTCATATCATAACACAAATATATATACATGGAGGGATTTTCCAAAAAACAAAACATTCAAAAAAGATCCTACACCTATGAATTTGTACTATCTATAATAATGATAACAATATATTTATTCTGAAATAACAAAAGGCATGCCAATTTACATGCTAGATCAAACTGTTGCAAATGCTCTGACATTTACTTCAAAAGTAAGCGAAGTCTGTGTCTGATAGCACATATACATCACGTTACTGACAGGAGTAGTTTGATACAGCCACATTTTCAATAAGTGAGTACTAATATAGAAGGTACGCAGCAGATTTCTTTGGTGGTTTGTTCCGAAGTGTCAGTTTGAAATCACGGACAAAGGGTGCAATTTGCGTGGAGGCGCCATGGATGTACGGCTTCGAATCGCCTTCTAGGCAGAGTCAAAAGCTCGGGTTATCAAACAAGATATAAGCATTAAGAATGTAGTGCCGTAGATTTGCTCAAGGAAGTAAGCAGGAAAGTTGAGGGGTATTGTTTTTAAAAGTGGGGCAATAGATGATGAGATGGGATCAACAGTAAGTCAACATTGTGAATGTTAGAACAGAAAGACCGACAATAGGCAATATGAAACTCACAAAGTTATGGGTGTTGATAAAGTTTTGTCCAGGACAATAGGGTGCGTTCTAATTAGCCAGTTTACAGTTGAACAGTATCGAACGACCCAAAGAGTAACCTGTATATTTCAAGTAAAAACTAGAGAAATTTGGAATCAACCAGAAGAAGGATGAAAAAATGAAGCAACAAAATGAAAATCAGAATCCGGTATATTTTAGACGTGTGCAGAGCTAATAATGTGGAATAAAGTTGCAAGTGAGTCCACACGTCCAGATAAATCGACACAGCCAAGAGCTTCAATTAGAAGCTGTACAAACTTATGTAACCCACTTGCCATGCGCATTTTGAGGGAAGGCTATTCCATATTAGTGCATACTTAGTGATGAAGAAGTTTTCTCATGTTTTTGATTCATCGAAGATTATGTATGCGTGGGCCTTGGATAAAGACTACATTGCAGGAGGAGTGGTTGAGCTTGTGCAGCGGCTTAAAGTAGAGGATTGGATTGGACTTGAGCCTTCTTTTCATTAGTGGATCAAGTCCAAGTACATGACAAATCTGTTGACACTGAGACTGTGAGGTACCTTATCGAAAATCTTTTTGACATAAAAATACAGCACGGTCACTAGTTGATTTTGATTGCGTACACTGCTAACCTCATTAAAGAAGCTTATGAGACATGTGGTGCATGACCTAGCTCTACAGAAGCCATGTTGTGAGGGGTCAATGAGACCTTTCCTTAGTACGTGATCAGATAGCCGATCTTTTATTACCTCCTCCATTACCCGCGAGATAACTGTAGTGATACTAATTGGTCCGTAGTTTTTGATTACCTTTTTCGGCCCAGATTTATGTTTAGGGACATGAGTTAATATCATAGTTTCTGGTTATATACCAGCCTCTTGGCATAATGTAAATATTTTGAGCAAAAATGATAAAATGTTTGGTCCTGCCATCTCAAAAGTATGGGTGGTATTTCATCCGTACCACAGCAAGCATACATCTGCTCTCAATTTCAGGAGGGGTGGAGGTAGGTATTGTAGAGTTAATGTGACGGCCATGATAATACCTGTTGCTAGTACTCAAATCGGTCTGCGTAGCTGTGAGGCCATTGGTGATTCGACGTTGTATTTTAGTTCTGTCACGGATAATTCTAATCTTCTTGAATAGCGAAATGAGTATGAGCAGTGAGTGGCTATTACTGAGGTGCTTTAGTGGCAGACAGTTCAAGAATGTAACAAATGTGGCAACGGGAATTTTTTCGCTTGTTTGACTCCTCTAAAAGAAAATGTATATATCTTTTCGTGGTATTGAGAGTAGAGAGACGCCTTTGTAGTCCTTACACTTTCTAAGATCTCCATTATTCGGTATGTTGATGATGTTTCATTCCTTCCAGTTAGTTGGTACTTGTTCTTCATTCAAAATCTTGCTGAACAGAAGATGTAACATCTTTCCAGTTATGTCTGTGTCTGTAATAATAGGGTGGTCGGTTGCTGCTGCTTCGATATTGAGTGGGTTCATGGTGACTGTCGATTCAGGAGTTCTTGGAAGTACCCTGCACACCTGTTTCGCTGTTCTTTGATGTCGGCGATTGGTTTTTTTTCTTTGCCTTCCACTGGTCGTTCCTGATCACTATATTTTCCAGAAAGCTTCTTCGCTGTCATTTAGTTGTCACATGTTCCCTTCTCTTGCAGCTTTTTCTGCAATCGTGGATAGGTCTTCCACATATTTACATTTTTCAGCTCTGATGCTCCTCGTCACTTACCTCTACTCTTGTTCGACTGCTACTGATTGCTATATTCCTGTTCTTCCTTCCTTCAGTCTTACCCACAGAATCAGCAGTGACACATTCATCGTAGTGGTGGCCGGTGGTACCTTTATAGCTACTGGTATCAAGGAACAATACTACTCTGAAACAAATGTACTCAGTCAAATCACGGGATATACTCATTCAAAAACAACTGTCAACTGTCGATGTTATTGAATGGGGCGGAGAACGAACAAATGCAGTACATGGATAAGAACAAAATACTCCATGAAGCTCAACACGGGTTTTGGGAAAAGCAGGTCATGCACATCCAATCTTCTAATAGCATGGGAAAGTTGGACATCCTGCTTGGACAAAAATATCGACGATGCATGTATTACTTCTTGACTTTGCATAAGCCATGGATATAGTACCCCACGCACTCCTAGTCGCAAAAGTTACGGAAATTAGCTTCACTGACCCACTACCATCTTGGATTAGAAACCGCTTTCAAAATAGAAAGTTTCGAACCAACGGAAATAGAGTGCACGCGTGCTGGCAAGTCTGAACATCTGGAGTTTCATAGGAGACCATCTTAGGTCCATTTCTCTTACTGATATTCATTAACAGTCTGTTAGACAAAATTTTGTCAGCGACATTGATCTAGGCAGATGATGCAAAGATCTAGAGGTCCATAAGAAGTGAAGAGAATTCAACTGAGCTTCAAAAGGACGTTACATCTATTGAGGAATGTGCAGTGAATAACGGTCTAAAACTAAACCAGTCGAAATGTTCCATTATGTACATTCTGCCCCACATGACACAAACGACTTAAAACATCAATGGAAGCCCGCTCCCGCTTCTCAGAGAGCGATTTCGGTTTAATAACCACAGAAAGCCTACATACAAGACCTAACTATGAAGAGGACGCAGCCAAAGCAAATACGACTCTTCAACCAATGAGAAGAGAAATTGGCGCTATCACCCCACACTTATTCTTAACTCTGTTAAAGACATGTGCGCCCACACCTTGAGGTTCACAATGTCATCTCAATCCCTCTCCTTAAAAGCGACATAAATCTCTTGGATGGAGTGTGAGACGAGCAAAGAAGTGGGTGATACAGCTGAATAATAAAACTTACAGAGATAAACTCCAACACTTGGGAATACTCTTTCTGAGTTGAAGAAGAACCATAGGTCATCTGATTATGGCTTACAACATATAAGGCACGCCAAACCATCCTAACGTCAGCATCTTACCGATGTATCACCACCACTCCCCTGAAGGGAATCCTCGAAAGATCGCACATCAAAGAGAGAATACTGAGATTCGTGCACACTTTTTCTCATTGCGAGTTGACGCAACTTGGAATGCTCGCCCAGCTGAGGTGACTAGACCTCCATTCATTGGACGCTATCAAACACCTGGAACCGTATCAAAAATACAAGAATCGAGCGCAAAGAAATTAAGTGGTTTATACTAGCTCGGGAAAAATATATTAAACATTGGAAATAGGATATTACACATTGAATTTGTTTAGGCGCTTAAAAGTTTATTTTTAAGGTCAGAAATCAAATCAAAATATTACTCTAGTTATCGAAAGATGAAAGGATGAACCGCAACTCTTTAGATACAGGCACCTTCGTGCAACAAGGTTCTGAATGGAGTTTGGTACATGCCTCATTGCTAGCCTCATGTTTTTTATCTATGAATATGTTTTCGAAGTATCCTCTGGACCAATACCTTGGTTCCGGTTGGTCATGCCTATGCTTTGTCATGTTTCATATGATATACAGTTGCCCAATAGCATACTTGCAGTTCAGGATTTTCAGTCGTTGTCGTGAAGGAGTTTTCGTACTTTTTGATAGATATGTCCCCATATCTAATAGTGAGTTTCTCCTTCAGCTTATTCACAATTATAAGTCTTCTCACTCTTTATTGTTACAGCTAACCTTATCAAATTTATAATTGGGGTTTATTTTATTGCCATATCCTTCGTGTACCTATTTTTCACGTTTTATAACTGTGACGGTAGAAATTGCATTGGTGGGACATATGTATGGGGATCTTGTTCGGATTCATGGAGTGAAGGAGACTGCAAGGAGTAAGAATTAAATTTACACTTGGATAAATGTATTTAGTAACTACAAAATAGTACACGCAGGTCCAGTCCCCGAGGAAAAATTTATGCTGTAAGTACTTTGTTTTTTTTCAGAGAGAAACTTTTGGTAGATTTTTACGTTAATATGAAAATGACTGGCTTTGCTACATCGGCAACTTAGTAATTTTCTATCAGGTAATAATGGTTACTATTCTAACATTACGAAAAGGTGCTTATTAGAGCTATGCTGTAATCTGACATACACATAAATGACGCGGCTTTGTATAACTATAATTGAGTCTAAACACTTGTTATGATACTTACGGACGGAATTTAATTGTAATATAGCACTTCACCAAGTAACACCGTAGTGTGAATGATGTCTTGCCGAAATATTTACCCTTTAACCCTGAAAGCTGTAAATCAATCAATGTTTTGGTTTTTTAGAGAAGCTTTTACAGACCTACTGTTACTTAAAATCTTCATGAATATTAGAATGCATAAACTGTCATTTTTGCCCACTTAATACATAAAAATAATATCAACTGAAAACGATTTTCTATTCCCATTTACTTCCCTTTCTATACGCCTAAATCATAAATTTTACTCTGGTAATAAGAGACCAGTTGATGTTAGTGAGTAATAGGAAGTACCTTTAAAACGTTCCTTTGATATTATCAGTTCGAAGTAAATTGGGCGTCCTCTTGATGAAGTTTACTGATGTTGCTGTTATCATCTCCTATAAAAGCGAGGTCTGTGACTTCCAAACAGTTCACTGAAAGAGAGTAAGAAAGCAACTTTGTAAGAGTCTTTTTTTCAACTGCTTAATTATTGCATCTTAAATATTGATAAAGAAAGTCTAAAGAGCACAAAGAATCGAGCACAGATTTTCTAAAAAACCTTATTTTAGTCTTTAATATATTTTGAATGTTCTTTCTGTTTAAGTTGTTAATTGAACTTACAGGTTTTTTCATTGGGTCTCACAAAAAATTGAAGTTACTAACTAAATTAGCAAACATATAGTTTTTGAGTTGTTTCGTAGTTAATGTTTTACTTACTGTTCAATAAAATGAAAATGAGGGATATATGTACTGTTAGATCATAGACGACTTTGTTTTTAACCCGTTAATCATCAGCATCGATTATTATCGCAATACATTCAATGCAGAATGTCTAACGAACTATAAAACAATGTTTTTCTGTTTCATACCAACATTTTTGAAGAGTTAAATGGGTGCCATATATTTAATTCTCCTACTCACAGTTAAACACTTCAGTAATATCAGTTGCAATTGTGTAGAAATAATAATTCTTTGAAGTCAAATAATTCAATTTTTAATCATTAAAGCTATTTGGACAATTCTTCCAAACGTATTCTACTGTATTGAAAATTATTAATAAATATCACTTGTTTATTCATTAAATTTTTATAGCATCCAGTGAATGTAGAGAAAAGTCAAAGTTTTAATCACTTAAGAAACTAGTTCAAAAACCATCTTAATAACGTTTTAATGCATGAATTTTTACTGAATATAAATGAGATTGAGGCCAAGCACACAAATCAGAACTATCGATTAAAATCCATCCAGTTTATATAAACCATCCTTTTGTTAAACTAATAGTAGTTGTTAGAATTGCTTGTTAAACTTGTTAACATCTGAATATTTCTATTTTTTCTTTCTTTAGTAATTTCATACTCATGAGAAGTGATAGTATTCTATCTGGATGGGAAATTACCCCCTGGTTTAGTATTCGTGGTTTAATTCTAATTCCCTATTTAGCAGCATTTATCCTTATTTTTCTCATGACTATTGGCGGTTCAAAGGTGTTTGGTATGGTGAGCTATAATTTGTTTGGTCATTCTAATTTTATTGTTACATTGTACTCATTATTGATTGCAAGGGACTGTACATTTTTGTTTTTGGTATTCAAGAATTATTTGATCAACCTAGGTTGTTAAATGTCCTGGTAAAACAGACATAGTGATAAACTGATATTATATGAAGTTAATTTATCAGTATCTTAATATCTAGTGGACTGTACTGTGATATTTGAAGGGATGATCATAGGACTCAGTGCGATTCAGCTACGTCCAGTTGACTAATCTGAAAAGTGAATGAAATTAGAGTCGTGGATCTAACTATTAGTTACAATCTAAAATAGATATAATATTTCGGTTAATTTGCCAGGCACCGCTGAATTGAATGGAAATGGGTTTGTTAAAAGTACATATATGTAAGATCCTGGCAAAGTGAAATCCAGAGTTTCATATGATTAGTCAGCATGAATTTGGCACTTTAAAGGTTATGAATATTGAAATTCTCAAAGCTTTGTGCCACACATATATACATCCACAAAGGCGCTAGTATGAGGGAACACATAAGTAAGAGTAAGCATAGAAAGCACAATAAAATTTTTAATCTTTTGAAATCTGTTCTGTAACCTATGTCCCTTTCAACTCCATGAATAACCAGTAGTATAGTTTTCAAGAATCTAATGAAGAGTTTACTTTAAACGAATACGTTAGTTTTTCGAATTGGGTAAAAACACCTGATTGCCATGTCGTATGTGTCGAATGACCCGTTTCATTAGATTAGCAGTTGGAGCTGATACTGGCTTCAATAAACCAGTAGATTACGTAGCCACTATTCGATGCAGAGACTCCAGTGAAGAAGCCGCTAGATCTTCTGTTCTGTTGAATGTCTATTTTAGACCTACCTTAGTTTTGTCTGGAAGATGATTGTGTTCCGTTAGCTGTTTTGCTATAACTACTTATGTTGTATGACAGCGTGACCTATACTTTGTCCGATATTCCGTACACCTCTAAATGTTCTTTTTATTAATTACTTTCTCTCTTTTGAAGACTTAGTCCTTTACTATTGAAATATTTGCACCCTTGTCATTCCAAATAAGTTGAGAATTCATCCCAACGAAGTTTAAAGAGAATAACCAAGTGTGTAATTGGTCGACCTAATATGAAACTGCTTCACTTAGAACTCAAATTATTTGTAATTTTTTGGAACAAATAGGTACAAACTTACTGTATATACAATCACATTCTCACAATTCAGTCTACCATCTTGTACACAGAAACACCTCTCTTAAAAGATTCTCTCCATTCTGTCCGAAATGGACACTTCGAGATAACGTGAATGGGGTTGTAAAATTAATAAATTGTAACTCAGTATGTGCCTTTTCGATTGTCACCCATACTGACGTATACCGTTTTGCTGATATCCTTATATGTATTGACTAATTTCGGATACTGAATTATTAGTCTGCATAAGTAACATACTCGGCTCGAAACCGGAAGGTCGTTGGTCTCATAATATTACTAGAACAAAACAGCTGCTGAGTCCCTGTTAGTTCTCAATGGTCCCCTAGTTAGTATCATTCTTTGATGAAAACCAACTTCAGTTTCAACTAATCTCCACAAATGCTCCAACTCAACTATCTACCTTAAAGTTATAGAGTTTCTAGAAATACTGAAGTTATGAAAATACCTGTTTGATATTATGTTAGTACAAACTGTCTATGTTTTTGCATATATATATATATATACTAAAGCGTTCTTACTACCAATCTAAAAACAAACGTGTTCTCTTAAACTGTCTCAGTTCTAGGTGGGGGTGTAATGATACTTTATATGCAGAATCATAATAAATAAACTACAAATTAGCTAGTTTGATGGAAAAGAACATATATATATTATATATATATTTATATGTACCAACAAATTGAAGCAGTTTCATTTAAATTCAGTCTGTAATTTCATGCCAAGCATAAGCTGAGTAAATATGTTGCGTGTGAATCTGTTCCACTTATCCGAAACTAGGTCATTAATATTCTAACTAAATGAATCATCAATAATTTGTTCTCCGAAGTTCTACAGGTAAGGAATGAATACATTTTAATGTTAGTGGTAAAAAATAACTTGTAGAGGAAATTAGTACATAGTTTTGAGAATAGTTGAAGTATCTGGAGTAGAATACAGGTTTATGTTCCTGAGAATTCAAGAATAAGGCACATTTAATATAATAGAGGTGAAACTGATACACAGACTTGTAACCTTTTCATCAATAACTTATGTTTGAGTCATTTGGTTAGAAATAGCCTGACTGAGAAGCTGACACAACACCTAAAGGTTCTGGATTCGATCTCTGGCAAGATAGTTTATGTTCACTGACGAAGGGTCACATAATAGAGTGAAATAGTTGTCCACTGCTTCCTGGTTTGATCCGCGATGTGAACTAAAAAATTCAACAAACTCTATTCCAATAATGTAAAAACTGTCTGACCTAAAAGTTTCTTCATGAAATCTTACTTAAAGTGAGGCAGTTTCCTACTCACTCTGGATATCTTAACCTTTCATCTTGAGTCGATTTCGAGGTGCGGTTCTCCGCGTTGTTTAATCTTTGCTTAAGAATTGACCCTACTAATGCGGTGTCAGAAGACACAGTTTACTAGCGAACTATGCTCACCTTATCTTCGGTCTCCCATTTGCAAAACAAGTAGATTATAGACTGTTTCTCTCGAAATATCTATTGGCCTTTAAACTACACTGATCGAGTTATGCGTTTCGATCTTCCTCCATACTTCTATCTAGCAGCCACTCCTAGGTAACGCTACGCTACGTACTACTTACATCTCTACTCTGTGAGTAGCATCCACTACACTATGAAACATTGTTTGGTGCTAAGTTTATTACTTCATACTGTATAATTATCCTTGATATTATGATTATTTATTTAAATAAACAATGTCTAGGGCAGTTTAAACCTGAATTAGTAAATGGGTTATGATTAAACATACAACTTGCAAATATTCATTATATATAATGTCATGATAGCCATTCCACATGATGACTAACTAACCTAATTTGCATACATACATTTTCTCCTGGATGGATTTATTTGAATTTCCACAATGAAATAAGCGTTTAATAATCTACACGTATGTATGCATGTATATGTGTTTTGTGTGCTCTTTTAATGTTTAACTCCAAAATAAACAAAAATCATACAGTATCACATATGTCATTGAAACACTGAATTTTATGTGGCTTTAATATGCCATGTTACTTATATTACACACGTTCATCTGTTTTCTATTCGTTTTCTTTCAGTTACTCTACATATTATCACCATTGGCTGTATGTTTACTCAGTGGAGTACTGATTACAATACGTGTGCAATATGCTAATTCAACTAATCAGTTATCCGACTATTATACAAAATTTTATCAAATGTTTTTCACATCAATACCGAATAATCCTGACGGGGTGGATACATTTCAAGTGCAACCATTAGTTTGGGTAAGTGTCGTGAAAGAAATCGAACAAGTATTGATTTTTATATCTTAATCTCATAAATTAAAATACATCAGCTAAAACATCAATGAGATTCAATGGAAAATAGACATTTGTGTTGTCCTAGTTTACAAATTTTAAACAGTATGTGCTATAAAAGTTTCATAGTTTGAAAATGATAGACACGATTTGTATCGCAGGTGGTTGCTTTTGGTAGCAAGATTTTCTTTAAGCAGAATGATTTAAATGTATAGATTTTATTTTCATTTCGAACAACATTTCAAGTGGAAGTTAACATTTTGAAATGATTTCACTAACAGTTACAAACCATCCATTTATTGCTTATAGAGTAGTTTTTTTTATAAGCTCACTTCTACTTAAATCAAGCGTTGATAAAATTATCCAGAGTGATAATAAAAGCTCTCCAATTTGGAACTATTCACACCATTTCACATTGCAAATGAAATTAGTTCATGATGAAAATTAACTTCTTCACAATCTATCTTTCACTTGATAAATTACCAGCTTGGTTACTGAAAATCTACCAGGTAAGTTTCCAAAATTCATCTAATTTCCTGTTTCACTGTAATTATCAACTAGACCAAGTTATCAAGGTCATTTTGAATAGTCATATTTATACAGCTACATATGTAATCATTAGTTTCAAAGCACATGAATGAAAATTAAACAAATAAACTAAACTAACCACCACACTTAAACAAACATTCAATGTTAAAATAGTAACTAGTTGAATTTATTTCAAAATTGTTTTGTTTATATTCATTCACTGGAAGAAATCATGTCGAATTTAATTGAACATAAGATTTATTTCAGGAGTGTATTAGAACAAAAACTTGCAATTAATAAATGTTGATTAGTAGAATGTGTATGTTGTTCTACTCTCCGCATAACATATGGTAGACATTGAAACAGAAATACAGGTGCGTTTATATGCAAATACATCATTATTCACTGCTAATATTGAATGCAAACTTTGTTAACTAACAACATTGTATATTTACTCAAAATACTTGATAAATAATCTGCATAAATATATATATATATATATTGGATGGACTTGAAGAAAATTTTTCTGTTTGTTTAATGAGTTATTCTGTTTATTTTTTTGTGACATCTCTAAATGAATGTTAAAACTCTCACATGAGAATGCATTGTACACATGAAATTATTGATAATGACATGCATACTTTTTTCTTTTTATCATAGACGACGAACATATATAATCTTCTTGTGTTTTTATTTCACTGTATACAAGAACATTTCATGAAACTAAAATTCATTTGATGAAATTCTTTCGAATTTCAATAGATTAAAACAATAGGCATTCAACATTGATTGGAGCAACAAGATGAATTAATATTCACGCATAAATATGTTGACACAAAGTGATGATATTTGATAAAATACAAATTAAACTGTGTTATTTTGTGTCTCTATCTGAACAAAAGAATATTGTAAATGTGTTTAACTGTGTGCTACTGATTATTATTATTATTATTATTATTAGCACAATGTGTCTAAATGAATAAATATTGGAACATTGAATAAATGGCCAGCGAGAAAATTTAATCACTTTCATTTTAAAAAGTGCTGAATATGATTGAAATGTATTTAAGCACAAAATTGATTGTTACAATATTAATTTGATAGGACAATAACTGAACAATAAAATGCTAAGTTTAATTTTTTTTATCGGACAGTTGCATTGTGATTTCAGATAATCAGTGAAATATCGATCAGAATAATTGAGAAATAAAACAAATGGAGAGCAATATGTGCATATTCTATACCTAATAAGCTATTAACTAGACAATAACAGATTCATTTTTTTTAAAAATAGTTATTTAATATTTAATGAATTCCAAGAAAGCGTATGGAATGATTGCTGTTGCGAACCATTCTAAATTACGATGGACTACTAATCACTGAATAAAACAAAAAACATGCTATGAATCTGATTTCTTTTTGAATATTATTGATATTATTGAAAGATTGTTTTTTGAGTTTAATATTTAAGTTTACCTCTTGTAAATTGCCTGAAAAATAATATCAATAGATGAATAATCAAATCAGCGAGTTTGATTTTTATGCCAAGATTTTACAACTGTCTACGGATTCTCAAGTAAATAATGTGAAATTTATTACGACTAAAGATGATTTTTAACATATGAATGTCAATATCAAAATAGTCTTAAGCTTATACGTAAGAGTATGTGAACAGATGGAAGATTTTATTCTACTCAGCAGAAATCTATGAAGTCACTGACAAGTGGACTGAGTCATGTTGGTAGATGTAGGCTATCTGGTTGGGGTCTGCGAGACGAAAGTCACCAATGGTTAGAGACCTTGAACGACATGGCTCAGAATCGTTTACAATGGCGCAGATGCATCCGCTATTTGTGTTCTTTCTAATTTTAACCTTCTGAATTCCTCATAGTCTCTATCTTTCTCCTTCTAAATTTATCTCACTGAATTGTACTTTTCGAATCATATCTTTTCTCCCTAATCTTCTCCATTGCTGCTAATAATTCTACTATCACTATCACTCTTGGATTTGAACTGACAGTTACGTCTCTGTGCTGACGTGGTATGGCAACCTGAACTGATATACGAAGTTCTGCATTGTATCTGTCTGTCTCTTCATTTAGATTCTAATTCATGTATGTGTTAAGGATAAGCTATGATTTGTGTGCTATATCATTGTACATCCATAAATTAGCTTTCTTCTCTAGTAAAGGGTTAAATCGAATGTATAAAACGCACTATTTCTACACTTAGTTTCTGAAGCATCTTGTCAATTTCGGCTACATAATCCTATCGAAATTGCTTTTCGACATCATCTATACAGTCGAACGATTGTTTTAAAAGACAACTTGAATTAAAAACCTGCTCATTGCATAGACTTTAACTTTAAACCTGAATTTTTTTTCACAAAAAAGTATATGTCATCTTTCATTCTATCATGGCTGCAACACTTAATTTTTCATGCTCAATAATTAGTTGTTACCATCCTTTTCTAAGTTATCAGTATTTATTTACCACTACTATGATCATATACATGTTCAAAATTCTTTGACTTAATAAGTTTTGGAACAGATGTGAATGTTAGAATGTTAGAGTAAATAAAATAATTTATGAATGAATACGCAATGGTACATGAATTTTTAACTTACAACGTATATCAATATAAATACTTCTTATATAAATGATAAGTTTGTAATAAACAGTCTAATATTTCTATTGTTTGTTTGTTTTACAGGGATTTCTTTCTACATTTGTTCATTTATCTCAGTCATATAATCTGTGGAATGGAGTTTATCCAACCATAGGTAAACTGATCAATGGTGGACGTAAAACACGACATTTGTAAGTTTTTCAAACATCAAGATGTATATATATATATGTCTGTTTTACGTTGATAAACGAGTGTTAGAAATGTTTTAAACAAAAGTTAATACATCCATCTTTTTTAATCTTGATCATTCATAACCGTGTACAATACCATTTTAAACAACTCACTGAATCCTGTGATATTTTTTTCAACCTTAGAAAAGGGTACTTGTGCTCATCTTTCATACAGAAAGGAAGTCCTGGGAATTGCTAGGAATTATTCATATAGTTCTTATCTTTTGCACAATCAGAAGAAATTGAATCAATAAAATTTACTCAGTTTTGATAATTTTTTACTTATCCAATTTGTTCCATATTTCTTCTCTGGTACATTTAGCCTTTATTGATTTCGACACTTTACTTCTTAGCGGCTTATAAATCTTCTGTTTTTTTTCAAGTTTTGATTCAGTTTGAACACTAAACAATTTTATCTTATTTATCATATTGTTCTAATCACTTTTCGTTCAATTTCAATGATTGTTAAAACATTATTTGCACGGTTTTTGAGTATACCTAATTCATGTGCACACAAAGACAGAACAGGCTCACTTCAAGCCGTATTACGAAAATCCACACTACAATGAAGGTATATCTAGTCAACGAGGCTAAAATGGGGCGAACAGCACATCACCAGTTCGATTGTTAGCTACATTCCATATTTCTTTGTTATTATTATGATTATTTGATCATCTCTCGCCACACTGTTAGTGTTTTAGTGATGGTTATCTAATGTGTAACATATATCGTTCTCAACATTGTTCAACATCGGTCACAAATATCTTGCTTAGCTTATTTGTTTCATAGGTCAAAGAAATATTCTTTTTAAAATATTGTCCTTTCTCAAAGTGAAGCAATTACCGAGATTAGATGCAACATCTGATATAATTGCCAACATTTCCAACTGACTTCAATATCACCCCATAATTATGCAAAGTTTCCAGTAATCGCTGCCTTTAGTAGCTACCGTTGCAAAATACTACTTACTTCTTAGTTGCATACTTTCTATCATATTGACTTAAAATGCATTGTGACTGAGTTTAGTTGAGTCGAAAACTAACATGAATAGAAATGATAAATCAGAAATTCATCACTCAGAAACACTTTGAATCTTGAAATCAAAGTTGGTCGTTGATATTTTAGCCAAATATCCGTAAGTTGATAACATATTTCATCATACATTTCCTACGTTATCCGAAATTTTTTCTGTGATAGACAAGCTACTGATATGTAAAAACATAGTATATATCTAAAAGCTTAAAATATACTAAACTTTTCAGAGGTTGGATTCCAGTGGTGATAGGATCAGCTTTACTCGGACAGTTACCAGTACTAATTATGCTTTTCGCTACCGCTTCATCTTATGATCCACAATATGTTCGATGTCATTTAAGTGTTGATTGGCTGGCACCATTTGTAATTATGTCACATATTTTCTCGAAATTTTCAAGTCCTCGACTTTTGGTTGCATCATATTTTCTTGGACTCTCATTATTCCTTTTATTAAATCAAGTAAGTTTCTTCTGTTTTTATAAACCAGTCAAAAACTTTTAAAATTTTTACCGAAACGATTTCGATTGCCGTGTAGATCAGCATATGTTCTGGATCCCAATAATAGAAGTTCAATTTCATTCATGGATTCATTATCATTTAGTCAGAAAATGACACTATTGACTGCAGCTCTTTGTTCATCTGTTTCCTGATTACGAACAATCATTAAACAGTGATATTGTTTATTTTATAAATTACAATTCGATATTCAACATGATCATGTTTTGGCTGTCAATTTTTTAAACGAGATTATACATAGAATTCAGTTTTCCTCCTCTTTTATATTGAAAGTGATAGTCAATTTGTGATATTTCTTATTTAGAGGAGAAAACGGTCACTAGTAGCTGTGCTGTTAATAGATTTGAGTTTTGCTCCTGATCACCTAAGATAAGATGAAAAATACATAAATATATTTATTTAATATTGACTGAGTGAAGTGCGGAATAGTACAACTGTAATACTTGCTATATTAGCCCTTATGTTTGATATGCTCAATATTCAAAATTTCTTAGATGATTTTTTAAATTTGAGTTTCTTCTATGTATCTGTTTGTAAGAAGAAGGTTCTATGAACTAACACGGCTTCATAATTAGAATCGTTGAAATCACTTGATTAGCCCGATACATTCTAACAGTGAATTACAATATTGTGGTCTTTTTTTCAAATTTCAGTCAGTTTGTGAGAGATACTATGATTTATTGTTTCACCATCGAGTCACTAATGGGTTTATGGTAAAAACACTTAGGAAATCTAGATTTTAATGTTATTCACTAATCAGCACACAATTGTGATTTTAATCAGTGGTCTAGTTCGGAATTTACTCTAAAAGTCTTCACAAAACCATTAGTCTATTTTATTAACAACTATCTATACAACTGATTGATAACCGGTTAACGATAAATGTCATATTTGTTTTAACCTATGGTACTAGTTCAAGTTCAGGTTGAAATGTAAACACCATTCTAAGTGTTTCAACAATGCATGCTGCTACGATTAGATGCTCGATTATTGGAGGTAATTAACATATTGATTCACTTAAACCAGTGAACACACTACGACTTGCTTGATAGGATCCAATCATTACTAACGACCAAATATGCATAAACTTTGTCACTAAACAAAGGTCAAACAATGTAACTATCTCGATCTTACATGAGGTAAGTCGTTGTACCAATACCTCAGTGGTAAAGTCTTCGATTGAGAAACTAGATCTAGTTGTACTAGCCACAGAGAGAGCACAAGTTCCTTTGAGATTTCAGGCACTCTTTATTGACGAATGCTAGCTGACATGAAGTCCAGTTTTGAGATTTATTTTTAACTACTTGCATTTACTTAACATAATAATTATTTATTATGTTATGTTATTTTCTCTAAAGTCCTTAATACTATTCAGTACAACAGAACATATTGTTGATCATTTGATTACTAATAATGAAAAATATGAAGATCATTATAAACGCATATATCGTTGTTCAATTATATTCATCATTCTATTACTTGGATTACTTGGTGTACCTTTAATTACTCAGGTAAAATTATGCTGAATCCTTTGTTTATCATCGAAGCCAGTGTAATCTTGTTTTGATGTTTTCAATTGAATTAGTTCTCATTAGATTATGCAAACTAATTTGAATTTCTTTTCATTTAAATAAACTGATAGTGATTATTTGCAGTGTGATATAAATGATGTAGTCTGTAAATGATATAATTTCTCACCTTAAAAGTTTATCGATTACATAGTATGTCATTCTCAGAGTTATTTTGAGCTAACATATTGGATAATTTAGTTAAAGTGCCTTCCCAATGATACACTTAATGAGCTCCTTACTAGATGTGTATAAAAAGAATTGAGGATTCGAAGAATTAGAGTATGCCTATGTGCAATCGATTGTCCTAGTTTGCTTAAATAAGAGTGAATGGATCATTTGAACTAATAAATTTCTGCAATTGAACATTGAATAACTCTGGATTATGATTTGTTGACACTGATTATCGTAGTCACTTAAGTGACGGTATTTGATTTTCTCGTGTACTTGATTACTTGTTAAATATGTTTGGATTACATTTAATGAGTGCACGATATATAAGTTGACATGATATTTACAGGAATATAATAGTTTATTCTTGCTTACGAACTCATTTTTGGGCTATCGAAATAATAATTTCAGATCAATGAGGATAAAATAAGTAAGCGAATTAAGTATCCATCGTCATTAGGTCGTAAAACAAAATCAGACGGCATTTTATTATATTCTCCGTGAATAAAACCATAGCTGGCATATTTCCATTATCATTACCCATTAAATTACAGATTATTCATGTTTGATCAGTAACCAAGTAGACGTTACATTAGCTTAGGTTAAGATTAACCATGCAATACAACTATTGAGATAGACGTTAATGGACTACGGGTTTGAAGTAGTAATCTGGTAGTTGAAAGTTGTATGTTTTAGTTAATAATCTGTCACTTGTGTTTAATCATCATAAGATATATTTGCTTTGTTCATATTGCATATAAAGTAACACAAACTAATATTTAAAAAATATAACTAAGGGCAGATGTTTTTCCGAAGCAAAATAATTCACTTATCATTGGATAGTTTTGAATTCTTCAAAATAATTCATTACACATAGTGTCTGTTTGATTTAAATTGTGTATAAATAAAGGTGAATAGAGTAAATGTTGAATTTATTTGTCTACTAGTATTAATACTTATATTTGTCGGTCACTCAATGGTTAACAATATTTATGCTTGTCTTGTCGTGATTAGATGTTATCGATAAAGTTGAAATGTGTCCACTTGTCTAAGTGGCGGTTTGATTGAACAGTGAGAAGACGTAGTTGACCTGAAAAATGTGATGTATTTGCGCTATATCCTTCGAACAATCTGGTCACACATATACACTTGTCAAGGCATTTTATATGAAGATTGGTAAAAGGTCAATTAAACAAAAGTTCAAATAGACATAAGGTGACAATTGTAAATGAAGGAGAGAGAAAATTAACGTAATCTAGCAAGAATAAGAAAGGGTAGGAAATTGTCACATTATCTTAGGCCAAACAATGGCTTAAAGATTACCAGGATAAATTCAAGGTTATAACAAATGTATGGCCAGATTCTTCGAAATGTATAGCGCATATACATCACATTTTTTAGATCAATTACGTCTTCTCACTGTTCTATCGAACTATGAAAGCGATTAATTGTCTTAACTAGAAGTTATCGACACCGCCATTCACTTAAAGTTCTTAATGCCATCTATTCATACAACTAGCACTGCCAATATTTATCACATTAACTAATTGCTGTTCTGTGATAAATTCTAACAGAAAGTTTGGCATGTCACTGTGAGAATAACGGAGCTGGTTGAACTTTATTGAGATTACTATCGTCTCGTAATCTTGAAATTAAACAATCTTCATCATGTGATCACTAGTAACCAGCTTTAAGATGAAACTATTGGAGCTCTAGCGAGAACACATAGAAAAGGTTTTGCTATTTATGATAAATCTAAGTTTTTACATTAATTCACTGAGTCCCAGTAAATCACAGTGATTACTAATTTCATCGACTAATTTAAACAATGTTTTGTTGAGTTAGTGAGAGCCAGATAACAATGAATAATCTACTTTTTTCCAATTTTGAGACTCTCAAGCAAATCTCACCTCTAAACACACAAGTATCATGTTAAACATTGATAATAGTTCGATCATCCGAATTCTTCACTTCTGTTATTATTCAGTGAACATTATCAAATAATGTAAATGGTATGAAATTAGTTGGTTTGTTAATTTGTTTTTAAACCATTTTGAGAATTGACCATAGAGAATTTTACATGTTGTTTTCTGAAACATAATAGCTGTTCTGCATTATTTAATAGTTTAAATTGATTGACTGGATCTAAAATACGATTCTTTCTGCTTAATCTATAGGCTGGTTTTTATTGGATACGCTTAATTGATTGGTTTGTTGATCGTTTAATGTTGATATCAGTGCTTGGACAAGCAGCTGGTTTTCTCACTGTTTATGGTAAGTTAAAATATACATTAGTTAGTTGATTTAAACTTCCTCTCATTTTCAGTGAATACTGATAAGAGGGTTTTGTTAAAAAATTTTAGAAAATAATCCAATATTTTATTTGTTAGTGTTTGCGATTTTCGCATTGTAGATGTTCCCGACCGTAGCTGCTACCTTGACGTGGTGGTCGGGCTTGCCTTTCGTGATTACCCAACTGAGCTCTACTGGCTGGAACATATGTTCCTGCAGGTCCTATCATGCCAGGCTGGTCGATTGGAGAACGATGAGACTAAAAGCAGCTACCCAAGGTCTGAGGGCGAAGTCGTACTGCTGACTGCAGAGGGGTGTGACAGCAGTAATGTGTTTCCCTCGGACAACCAGCATCTGCAGCGATGCTGCCTTCTCACAAGGAAGGAAGGGTTAGAAAATGTCGACCCTAGAAATGTCACACCTCACCCTACCTCACGGATTTCCGTCTCCGTCGGTAAGGGTGCCCACTAAGGGTCTTTAAGAGCGGAGCTAATCCTCAAAAAGCCTTTCATAAAAAGGCCCTGCGTGACCGGCCTCAAGCAGTTGTCCCTTGGGCCCTGCGGTCACGCTCCTAGGTCTCCAAGACCAACACTAATCTATCTTCCTTTTCAGGTCCCTCAAGAATCAACCTTCCACGGTGTGGGCAGCCAGGAAGTGACAACCGCCCTCATACCCGTAACAGCACGAGAGACCAAATTGGTCGAAATCAAATCCTTCCTACACCTACACATACCTCTCTTCTCTCCACAACTAACTCTACTCACATTCCCTTATCTGACTGCACAGCAAATGCAAACGATGCGAGTTCACGAAACGTCATTCCTGGTCTCTTGAAACCTCGTTCTAGTCTACATGTTGAAGCATTTAATGTACGGACATTGTGTCAAATAGGGCAACAGGCATCATTAGCTAGGACTTTAGAATCTCGTGCCATCGATGTATGCTGCGTCTCGGAAACGCGCATACAGGATCCTAGTCAAATTATCAATCTGATTTCACCTTGTCAAAATAAAGAAGCAGCCCCATTTACTCTTCGTGTATCTGGAAGCCCTGATGCTGCTTCCAGGGGTTTTGCTGGCGTAGGCATAGCATTGAGTCGTAGAGCTGAACAATCTCTCCTTGACTGGATCCCAGTAGATAGTCGCTGGTGCGCTGTCCGACTGAACGGGACAGTAAGGACTCGGAAAGATAGGGACAATCGCCGTTGCCTCTTCATCGTATCTGCCTATGCCCCCACTGACTGCAGTGCAGACGAGGTTAAAGATGAGTTTTACATAAAGATTTCGGACCTCCTCCAAAAAGCTAGGCGCTCTGATATAGTAATAATGGCTGGTGACTTTAATGCTCAAGTAGGTAGAGTGAATGAAAATGAAAGATACCTGGGTGGATGTTATGGTGTGGCGGCTCAGAGAACAGACAATGGTGACCGTCTGTTGCAAGTATGCTAAGACAACCGCCTATTCTTAGCAAACACTAACTTTAGGCATAAGGAAAAGCATCTGTTGACCTGGCGACCTCCAAAGTTGTCTCAACGTTGGACGCAACTAGATCACATCGCCATCAGCCACCGATGGAAGGGTTCGATAGAAGACTGTCGCTCGTTCTGGGGCACATGTTTAGATTCAGATCATGCCCTAGTGCGAGCTCGTATTTGTTTGAAGCTTACTAGGCAAAGGAAAGACACTGTAAGAAAGCCTCTTAGGGTTTTACGTAATGATAATAAGGCAAAGAATATATTTCAAGAACAACTAGAAAGAGAGTTAGGTGACCATTTAAGCGATTCCCATCCGGAAGCAGGTTGGGATGATTTCAAAAAGGCTGTGGAAACAGCAGTGATATCTGCTAGGAAGGTTGACCATAAGACTAGAATGAAGCCGTGGATCTCAGTAGCATCCACCGATCTGATGGATGCCCGAACACTCATCCCACCTGGCTCTGAACATGATGAAGAACGAAGTCAGCTTAGGCGCAGACTTATAAAAAGCCTACGTAACGACCATGAACAGTGATGGGCGGCGAAAGCAAAAGCGATGGAAAAGGCAGCGGCGATCGGCAACAGTAGACAACTTTTCCGACTTATCAAAGAAACTGGGTATTAGGAATCCTAGTGTAAGTGAGACTATCTCGGAAAGTGATGGGACTATTATTTATTCTCAATCCAGGAGACTGGATCGATGGGCAGAACACTTTAGGGATCAGTTCAATTGGCCTCGAGCCACTCTTCGGTTACCCACGATCTCCAGTCATCCTGAATGGCAAGTCGACGTAAGTCCCCCTAGTCTTTATGAAGTTGAAAAAGCCATAGGAAATCTGAAGCGAAGACGAGCTGCAGGTCCTGATAGACTGAACACTGAGATATTTAAGGATGGTGGTCCAGTTTTAGTATCCAGGTTGACTGAGATCTTAGGTAGAATCTGGGAACTGGACGTAATCCCATCCGACTGATCTCAATCACTGATTGTCCCAATCTATAAGAAAGGACAAAAGTCTTCTTGTGACAATCACAGGGGAATCAGTCTAACCAATATAGTATCTAAAATATTGGCCTCAATAATACTTCGGCGCTTAAGGAAAGCTCGTGAAGAGCAAACTCGAGAAAACCAGGCTGGTTTTCGACCTGGACGTGGCTGTATAGACCACGTCTTCACACTACGACAGGTCCTGGAACACAGACACACATTCAGGCGTCCTATAATAGTTGTTTTCCTGGACCTAAAAGCGGCATTTGACTCTGTGGATCGTGAGGTTCTGTGGCAGTGTCTGTCATTGAAAGGTGTACCAAAGAAGTACACTAACCTCATACAAGCTCTCTACTCGAACACCACTGGTCGAGTGAGAGCTTATGGAGAACTGTCAACGTAATTCTTTACTTCAAGTGGTATCCGTCAGGGATGTCCTATTTCTCCATTCTTGTTTAATTTTATCATAGACATGCTCCTAGACATAACATTATCCTCGTCTAAATTTTCAGGAGTAGACCTTTTACCACTTACTTACTTACTTACGCCTGTTACCCCCAATGGAGCATAGGCCGCTCACCAGTTTTCTCCAACCAACTCTGTCCTGGGCTTCCCTCTCCAGTTCTGTCGAATTTTTGTTCATTCCTCTCATATCTTTCTCTATTTCTCGGCGTGGTGTGTTCCTTGGCCTTCCTCTTTTCCTTTTGCCTTGAGGGTTCCATGTGAGGGCTTGTCTCGTGACGCAGTTAGGTGCTTTCCGCAATGTGTGTCCTATCCACTTCCACCGCTTCTTCCTGATTTCCTCATCCACTGGAATCTGACTTGTTCTCTCCCACTGTTCGTTGTTGCTGATGGTATCTGGCCAACGAATACGAAGTATTTTGCGTAGACAACTGTTAATAAATACTTGTATCTTCTAGATGATGGCTTTGGTAGTTCTCCATGTTTCGGCTCCATACAGTAGAACTGTCTTGACATTTGTATTGAAAATCCTGATTTTGGTTTTGTTTGAAAGTTGTTTGGAGTTCCAGATATTTTTCAACTGTAGAAATGCAGCCCTCGCTTTGCCAATCCGCGCCCTCACATCTGCATCCGATACACCTTTCTCGTCGATAATGCTGCCCAGATATGTGAAGGTGTTAATGTCCTCCAAGGCATCTCCATCGAGAGTGATTTGGTTGGTGCATGTTGTGTTGCATCGGAGAATTTTGCTTCTTCCTTTATGTATGTTGAGACCTACTGCTGCAGAGGCTGCTGCTACACTGGTCGTCTTCTCTTGCATTTGTTGTTGAGTGTGCGATAGAAGAGCCAGGTCATCTGCGAAGTCCAGATCGTCCAGCTGCGTCCTAACTGTCCAGTTGATACCGTGCTTCCCTCCAGATGTTGACGTCTTCATAATCCAGTCGATGACCAGGAGAAAGAGAAAGGGTGAGAGTAAGCAACCTTGCCTGACACCGGTCTTCACCTCAAAAGAGTCTGTCAGCTGACCTCCGTGTACGATTTTGCAGTTGAATCCATCATAAGAATTCCGTATGATGTTGACTATTTTCTCAGGCACACCGTAGTGTCGAAGAAGCCTCCACAGTGTTTTCCTATCCACGCTATCGAATGCTTTCTCGTAGTCGATGAAGTTGATGTAGAGTGGTGAGTTCCATTCAATTGATTGTTCCACAATGATCCGTAATGTAGCAATTTGGTCAGTACACGATCGATCCTTACGTAATCTGGCCTGTTGATCTCGAAGTTGGGCGTCTACGAAGTCCTTCATTCTGTTTAACAATACTCTGTTGAAGACTTTGCCTGGTATTGAAAGAAGAGTGATGCCTCTGTAGTTCTCACACTTGCTGAGATCGCCTTTCTTTGGTATTTTGATGAGGTATCCTTCTTTCCAATCTGATGGTACTTGTTCCTCATCCCAAATCTTCTTGAAGAGGATGTGAAATATTTTCGCAGTTGCTTCTACATCTGCTTTCATTGCCTCTGCTGGAATGTTGTCTGGTTCTGCTGCTTTGCCGCTCTTGATTTGTCTGATGGCTATACTGATCTCCTCAATCGTAGGTGCGCCAATATTAATTGGGAGATCTGTGGATGCTGCTTCGATGTTGGGTGGGTTCAGTGGAGCTGGTCGATTCAATAGTTCCTTAAAGTGCTCTACCCACCTATTTCGCTGTTCGTCAGTGTTGCTGATTATTTTCCTTTCCTTGCTTTTCACTGGTCGTTCTGGTTTACGATAGTTCCCGGCGAGCTTCTTTGTTGTTTCGTACAATTGTCTCAAGTTTCCTTCTCTTGCACCCTTTTCCGCCGTCATCGCTAGGTCTTCCACATATTTTCGTTTTTCAGCTCTGATGCTCTTCTTCACTTCCCTGTTTGCTTCTGTGTATGCAGCTTGTGCCTTAACTTTCTCTGCTCTTGTTCGGCTGACATTCACTGCTGCCTTCTTGTTCCTCCTTTCTTCAATTTTTGCAAGAGTATCAACAGAGATCCATTCCTTGTGATGGTGCTTCTTGCGACCAAGGACCTCCTGACATGTTGAAGTGATTGCCTCCTTAATCCCTTTCCAATTGTACTCCAATGTTGCTTCCTCTCCATTGAGTAGATCCTGAAAGGCCTGGAACCTATTGGTAAGGGCTATCTTGAATTCGTTCAGTTTTAGGGTATCCTGAAGAAAGGCCGTATTAAACTTCTGTGATGTTGTCTGCCCCGTTGTCCAGTGCTTCTTTAGCTTCAGTTTCATTTTGGCGATCAGCAAGTGGTGGTCTGGAGCTATATCAGCTCCTCTCTTGGTTCTCACATCCTCCATGGTCCTTCTGAACTTTTTGTTGATACAGATATGGTCAATTTGGTTCTGAGTAGTGTGATCCGGTGAAATCCATGTGGCTTTGTGAATGCGTTTGTGCGGGAACGTTGTGCCACCGATGACCAGTTTGTTGAAGGCACATAGGTTTGCAAATCTCTCACCGTTTTCGTTCCTTTCTCCCAGTCCATGTCGTCCCATGATGTCTTCATATCCAGTGTTGTCCATGCCAACCTTGGCATTCAGGTCTCCCATAAGAATCGTCAAATCCTTTGGTGAACATTTCTCGACGATTGACTGAAGCCTTTCGTGAAATTGATCTTTAACGTCGTCATTGTAGTCATTGGTAGGTGCATAACATTGGATGACGTTCATTGTAATGTCCTGTTTCTTTGTTTTGAATGATGCTTTGATGATCCTAGGTCCATGAGATTCCCATCCTATCAGTGCCTTTTGTGCATGTTTGGACAGCATCAGTGCAACTCCTTGTGTATGTGAAGCGTTTTCCTCTTCATGACAAGAGTATAACAGCAGTTCCCCTGATGCAAGTCTCAGTTGTCCTACCTGTGTCCAATGCGTTTCACTGATGCCGAGCACCTCGAGGTTGTATCTTTTCATTTCTGCAGCAACTTGAAATAGTCTTCCAGTCTCCCACAATGTACGAACGTTCCATGTACCTAAAAAAATGGTTGCTCTGGTTGTCAGAAGAGGCATCGGCCCCGTGACTTCCGAGGGAACTCGGCTTTCATCACGAGATGTCATAATTCTTCTTCCAACTCCCAGGGCAGAGTTAAAATGGTTTGAATTATTTTTTCTGGTTAGCGTTTTTTTTGGCAAGTGAGATTTCAACGGAATGGGGTCGCCAACCCCATGTCCAACCCTCCTCCTTTATCCGGGCTTGGGACCGGCAGTAGCCCCTAAGGTTCTACTGGCGGAGTTAGACCTTTTACCAGGTGGCTCGCATATTGACTCGGAATATGCCGATGACATTGTCCTACTTGATGAAGACGCTGACAAAATGCAGAGTCTTCTGGTTAACCTAGGCAACAATGCAAGCATGTTCGGGATGCGGTTTTCCCCCTCGAAATGCAAAATGTTGCTTCAAGACTGGGTTGCATCGGCACCTGAACTAGTGGTAGGGAGTGAAGTAGTCGAACGTGTAGACCGCTTCACTTATCTTGGGAGTCTCATCAGTGCCGATGGCCTGGTGACTGACGAAATCTCAGCTCGGATACAGAAGAATCGATTGGCTTTTGCCAACCTGCGTCACTTATGGCGTAGGCGAGATATCCGTTTGCTGACTAAAGCACGAGTGTACTGTGCAGTGGTTCGCTCCGTCTTACTTTATGGCTGTGAATCATGGCCAGTGAGAGTAGAAGATATTCGTAGGTTACTGGTTTTTGATCATAGGTGTCTTCGAAGCATTGCTCGTATATCCTGAGACACCTGAGTGAGCAACGCTGTTATTAGGAATCGGGTGCTAGGTAAGAATGGCAGATCAATAGATGAAGTAATGAAACTTCATCAGTTGAGGTGGTTGGGACATGTGTTGCATATGCCTAACCACCGACTGCCTCGCCGATCTTTGTTTTGTAGTGTAGGAGTAGGTTGGAAGAAAGTTAGGGGTGGCCAGACCAAAACATGGAAGAAATCCATGAAGTCATTGACGAGTGGACTTAGCCATGTCGGTAATTGTCGACTACCTGGTTGGGGTCCGCGAGATGATAGTAATCGATGGTTAGAGACCTTGAATGATATGGCTCAAACTCGTTCGCAGTGGCGCCGTTGCATTAATGCTTTGTGTTCTCTCAAATCTTAATCTTCTGGATTCTTCAACACCTCTAGTTTTGACTTTCTAAACTTTTCTCACTGAATCATACTTCTTGAATAATATCTTCTAATCCTAACTTCTCCGATTACTTCTAATACCTTTACTACCTCTTCTATTATTGGATTTGATTTGACAATTATATCTCTGTGCTGATATGGTATGGCGACATGAACTGATGTACTTACGTACGAAGTTCTACATTGCATCTGACTGACTGACTGATTGTAGATGTTAAGAACTAAGAATAAATCAGTCTTTACTGGGATAGGTGCTTCCTGACTAGAATACTTCGACATTGCCTTTTAGATTCAAGTTTTATTTAAGTAGGATTACGATCAGCAATAAAATCCAAAACACACGTTTCGTTGTTTTTAGGATTCACCAGCTGTAAAAACATGTATCACGCTCATATGATTTTGAAATAGTGGGGGAAATTCGTAGCTATGGTGGATGTTTGCGATGGAGTTTCGTTCCCGGGATTGGATGTTTTGGTTGTGGGACTTCCATTGTTCTTCTGAACAACATCAGCACGCACAAACTTCAGGTGGAAGTGAAATATTAAGCCGGTATCTATCGCTCTTAATGTCTAACTTCAATCAATCCTTGATATTGTACAACCTCACCCATTGTCTGAAGTAGTTACTGCTAACACCTGACAGGGTTGAACTCCACCGTGCTACTCATTGCTTACAACTACTAGCCAGTTTAGATCACATACTTCTCAACACATCAACTATCTTTTAAATATATCTGCACCCTTCTTCATTCCTGACTTGGTTTGAGATTCTCGATTAGTAAAGCATAACGGACAACAACATTGCCAAGCCCTGAATATCCTTGACGTGATCTGGTACAGTAAAAGATAAACTCTGAGTCTATTCGTTGTTGCAATATACATATAGATTTTTAATCCTTTTTTTTTCTTCGATTTCATTTACAGCACATTTACGTGGCAGTAAAATAGAAACACCGATGGTGAAAACAATCATAATTTGTATTTATGCTATACTCATTACTATTTCCAGTGTAAGTGTAATTATCGAATGCGTTTTCCAAACTCGTAGTGTCAAAATATTTCAAAGAGCACTGAAGCTACATTCTATTATGCATTGAAACCAGTTAAAAAAAAATCCAGTAGAAATAAAAGTCAATCATAAACTAAAACAAAACAATGTCTAATCCTCTAAAGTTTTTTCTTTGCTGTTTCCTACTCGATATCAAAGTTTGCTTTGTAGTATACTTGAAAATCAGATTGAAAATACTTTATGTGTCACTGATGTTGACTTATGTTGGCTTTTCTAGTTTGTTTGTATTGTAGGAAATAAATTTTACAATTTCGGTTTTTCAAATTCCATGCTAGTTATTTCTGTATTCCATATTCCACATTCGGGTGGTACAAATTATATTCATAGCCGTTGACCAACTGAGTTGAATATGACCATAGATTGAAAACCATCTATGCTCTGTCTTGCCACCGAAATGCACCTACTCCTTCTCACAAATCATATGACCAGAATGGTGCTCTTCACCCGAGGATCTGCAATAATATGATGACATTTTACGTAATCCTACTAGTATGCTCTCCAAATAGAAAAGTAATTTATGATCTTTGAAATTAGCTTTCTGGTGTTCTAATCACAGGTTTGTAAAGTTGTGACTTGTATCATTGATTCATCTCATGATAAGTAGATTAATGGAGTGAGCGGATTCGTAGTTATTAATATAGAAAGTGATATTCCCTCGGTTTGTCTGCCTACTAGCCTATGCTGAAATCCATAGAGAGCGAGTTTTCGGTGTGGTTTCCGACCCTCACACAATGTATTACTGGGTACAACCTTGAGACTTTCAGCATTGGATTGCAATTTGTGTCCCTCAAGGTTGTACCCAGTACATATATATATATATATATATCATAAACAGATCATTTATCGTAAGTTTTCAATTTTTCTTAACTCTTTTCTCAACACGTTTTTGTCTATTTTAAAGGGAATTTACATTTGGTACATATTGTCAACTTTAAAAAAACCACCTGATTTTCAATGTCGTACATACAGTCAAGCACCGTTAAATGATCCAATCCAGAATAATTTTATTTTACTCGGTTGGTTGATTGCATTTGGTCCAATACTATTGGGTTCAATCATTGGATTGATTATGACTTGTATACGTTTTCATAATCACCATTGTGAAGGATATTCGGTAATCGATATTCTTATATTTGTTTTGTTCATAAATATTGCCACAGTGTATTTTCATGATAGAGTTGTTAAAATTCACTAGAATTTGTACGACCAATTTTTTAAATCCATTCGTAAAGACATCTTAGCATAGATTATAATCAGAATGTGTATTGGGTGCCGGCCCAGTGGTCCGATGGTTAGGCGTTCGCGCACAGTACCAAAGGTCCTGGGTTCGAATCCTGCGAGGTGTAGGAGTCGTGGATGCTCACTGCTGATGAGTCCCATACCAGGATTAAACGGCCTTCCAGTGCTTCCAGGTTTCTAACGGTGGTCTAACAATCACTGACCGAAGATTTCAAATGTGTAAAAAACACAAATCTGCAAAACTAACAGAAAATGAAGTAATTTATAGCTAGCGCTCGTACTTATTTCTAAAGAAATCTTCATAGTGCATTACACAAATGTAGATATCTTTTAGAGATTTTCACATTTTGTTTAAAATTAATTTTATGAATTCGTCGATATAAAGTGCATTAATTTTAGTTCATTGAAAGACTGTTTCACGAACATCCTACTGGTTGAATCAGATGAATACGCACTAGTTATAAGTTATTTTTTTTCTATGAAATTCATCAGAGAATACTTATCTTGTGTAAATTACCCAGAATGCTTACACTTGAACAATAGATCTGTATGCTATATAATGTATCAGATAATCTTTTGCATTTCATTCTATCTGGATGAACTTCAACGCAGTTGTGTTCTTTTTGTGTGTCTAAGGATAGAAATTTGTGAAGTGATCACATAATATAAAACACGAAAATCGAGAAATATTAAAATTCATTAGTATACAGTGATCCATAGTTGCTAAAACAAATTTTCCATTAAATTAGTTGTATTTTCATTGAATTTCATTAGGCGAATTATGCATAATTAAGCATTCACACTTTCCTCAGCAATTCATGCCACCTAGGAAGGCCACTTTTCTCATTATCTTGCAGGCCAGCTTAACAATACACAGTGTGTTTACTTCTGGACTTCTGCTTTAATATATTACTTTATCTTGATTGATTATTTGCTCTGTAAATAGCCAATAACATGTCTGCACGATATTATCATGCAATGTTTCAGCTACATCAAGCTTGCCAAATAAAAATACTTGATAAAGGATTTGACTACGTTTTTATTTATAAAATCATGAATTTGTTTTTGCATGTTTCTAATTGATCTCCTCATTTAACTGTCTGTTTTTTTTTCAAATTACAGTATTTCAATTATTTATTCAAAGGTGATTATGGTCGACAAAAATTTATGCAAAAAACAGCACAAATATCACATATGAAATATAATCTTCCTAAATATTCCAAAATGCCAACAAATCTTTCATGGACTAGAATAAATAACTTTAACACTGTTACTGGTTCTACTAAATTCATGTCATCAAATTTATCCCATTCCAATGATCTTGGAATGAATAGAACAATTTATCGATCTGTTGGTGATCGATTAGGCAATTTTGTTTCGTCTAGTCAAGATATTGCTCATGCTTATTCTACAAATCAGCTACCTAATTATCATGAACATAATGAAATGAATCCATTGAATTCTTATTTACTTCCTCCACATAGAACATCTGAAGTAAACATCTACAAAAATAAATCAGCATCAAGATATAAAGATTATCAATATCAGAAAACTAAGCATCATAAACCTCATATTTATCCAAATCACCGTTCATTTGGTACATTGGATATATATGAAAGTGAAGAATTCTTGTAAATTAAAATTCAACTTAACGGAACATTCCTTCTGTTTTTTATAATATTTCTTTGAGGAAAAATTACAATACTACTTAATTAGTAATTTATTCACGACATTTTTGATAAATGGAATGGAACAACATTCCTCCACAAAGTTTCTACGTTTTTTGACTTTTTTTATTATGTATATCTGTAGAATAATGCTTTTCGTCTTATTGAAAAAAAGTTAATGTTATTAATATTCACAATTTTTATGTGTTAACTAAAACTGCACAAGTCATTTACAAATGTATTTGAAATAGTCCCATCCAGACTACTGTCAAAATAACATCCACAGCGTCTATTTATTCTAGTAATGTTGCGCGAAAGCTCAAAACCAATTGCTATTTGATTCCATCTGCAAATGAGTGAATGCATTTCTATATACTGGAGTAACATTCACCCTTAGATACTGAAAATAAGGTGTAGTGTTCATCCTTACTACTTCATTTACTGAGTAAGGAAATCTTTTTCTCAAATAAAAGCTACTAAGAGTTTTCACTAGTAAACTTATATACATTCGAATTAAATCTCGTAAACTGTTTTGTTCGCATAAGTTGGCATAATATAAAATATTTAGCTCAGAGTACAGTTTTGGTAGTTTTACTCTTCGAACAAATTGGACAGGTGTCATGTTCAACAATATCAAGAAAGCATAACTTTACCTAAACTCCTTTTAGGTCCACTTCTGGTTTCAAGCCTAGAAAAAGGAGTAGGTTTGGGGTGAATTGGGTGATTTCATTCCATAAAAGAGTAACAACAAAATACAAACCATACTACTACATACCATACCACTTAAAACTTTCAAATATTCTCCAGGGAGTTGGGTGCTGTTCATATCGAAAATTTGTTACATTTCGTGGTGAAAACCTAGGTTCTTCAGAAGTCACAAGGTCAGTGTCCCTTCTGACGACCATAAGAATAATTAATATAGGTAAATTAAACTTTCAGACAATGGGGATAACGAGAAGACCAGTCAATTAAGAGTTTACAACCGGAATTTACTTATGATATGTGAAACTCACTAGACATAAACCAGATAAAGAAGATTACCTTCAGGAGAATTGCCGGTTTGTTCTGATCAAGTAGAAGAAAATACCTGAAGCACAGGAGGTTAGGCTGATTATCTACAAAGAAACATGTAAAGCGCCTAATAAATAGGAATCTTATGGCTCCATGATCTTCAGAACGTCCTTCAAGACAAATGGGAGAAGGTTACACAGAATGTCGTCCAACGCTCCCCTTCCACCAGTAATAGAAGCAGCGAAAATAAGGATCACTTTTACGGGAGGCTGTAGTCCGATGTATAGACATTTTCAGGAAGAGACCTGACTGTCCCAATGAATGACCCAAACGCCTAAGTCATACCGGAAAACACCGGGTTTGAATGTATGACCAGACGAAATGGAATGAAATGAGGAAACGGGAATGAAGAAAGGCTAGCAGACTCATTTACTTCCAACAACACTGTTATAGGTGGCATTACTTTCTTCCATATGTGATGTACCGTGTAAGTTACCTTACCGCACTATGAGCAATAAGATTCATAAATTAAAAAGTTCGGAAGATTCATGAAAAACGTAAAACAAAAACATGTTACATTGCTTCAGAAAACCAAAACTACAACTGCGGCACTATGCACGTTAAATTCAACCTTCCTTTGAGATGCTAACGAATCCAGAAATTTAAGAATAGCTTTTAGCAATAAATTTAAGATAAAAAGGATCCTTTATAGAAAGAGAAAACCTTTATACAGAGAAGCTGGGAGGATTAATAACTTCAGTACAACAGGAAGTACTGGCCCTTAAAATTTGCAAACAATGGAGGAAATGAGAAAGTCTCCCAGATAAGTCGAAACTCTAATGAAAGAGGACCGGACAGTATATCAGCTGAAAACGTAAGGTTAGAAACCAAGGTAAATCTGATGATATTATGTATTTATAGTGAGTTGAAATAAATATACACCTTCGTGGTATAACTAAGGTAAATCCCGATAAATCCAGAAGTCAAAGAAAAAACTGTTCTGGAATAAGAAGTATATTTATCACTGGCCTTATGATATCGGAATAATTTCAAGTCCAGAAGTAGCGGCTAACAACCACCGAGGAGAAAAGAGGAATGGGAAAATAACACGCTTGGTCTATAGTACAAATAGAAAAAGGAGTACAATATAACAATTATCGTCAGAATTAAGTACAATAATAAATGTTTCCATTTCAGCAATTGTGTTATCTTCGTAAAAGTATACCACTACATACTTTTGCAATAAGACTTGAATGGAAGTATAGGTACCAGCAGGCCAACTAGAAGGACACCTCACCAAATTACTGAAGAAAAGAAATATTAGTTGTTGTGAGATGCGTGGTGGTATCATACTAGCGAAAATTTCCAGCAGAATGTAGCCAAAATGAACTTTATTATCTGAAGCAGCTCAACTTAAATTTCAAGAAGCTGGATTTTATTTACCAACGGAAGGGTAACACTACGAGAATTGTACTGTAAAGGCTATAAAGACTCGAATCATTCCTCTCTTCTGATGATTGGTTATATTTTGAAGACCTTCATATCTCAGGAGAATTACGGGATATAGCGGACAGCTCAAATGCAGCTAGTCGATTGGCCTAATCTTTCTCTTTCATACACAACGACAATCGCTGGTGGAGGCGGCCAGTCTAGCAACAGCCTCTTAAACAGTAGACCTTAAACTCCACGGTGACAGAAAAGATCACGAAATAAAACGCATCGGAAAGCAACAAAGTCACACTTGATGCAGATAAACTGGAAATGTTTTACGTACCTGGGCGATGTTATTGAAAAACAAAGAAGATCTACTGTGGGTCGGAAGACACAGGTTATTATTGCAATTGCAGCATTCTTACAAAGTAAGAACACCTGGAACTCAAAATAGCTGTCATGGCACAGAGCATTCAGAATTCGCAACAGAAATGTCAGCTCACTTATGATCTAAAGATTTGAAAGTTGAAGTAATCTCAAAACTAGAGCGGTTATTTTAAAATGGCTGTTGATGCGAGATACAATAGATCTGCTGGAAAGAGGCCGTTAACCAATGGCTGTGGAAGAGAAAAAACTAGCTTCCAGTGAAAGTTAGAGATGATGCCGAGGTGTGTGGGATACTGTTAGGATATTCATCCAGTATCCTAAGTCTAATTCTACTAGTCCACTCGCACTGGTCAGTTCCTGTTCGTTGTCCTAACTATCAGTGTCACATGCTTCAATGTTGTTTCCAATTCGACCTAACTTTATGACCCGCACCCGGACCCAAATCCCTAGTCCGGGATCCTGATTCTCTTCTGGACTCGGACCTCGTACTTTCAGAATGTATGTAGAATACACGTTCTACTTCATGACAAGTTTTCTTCTTTTACGCGATGGCGGTGGGAACACTCGGTTTAGAGTAGCATTTCGTGTCGCCGGACCCTCGGTCCTCACTCTCGTTTTCCGACTAAGGTAAACTCGTGATAGTTCAAGCATATCAATGACGTGTTACTTGCATGCGTAACAGATACATTATGCGTTAACTATCAATCTGTGTTATATTATGATGATGATAGTGTTGAAGCGTGAAGGTTACACGTCCAAACGAACTCCAGATCAGAAGATTGTATATGGGATATCAACGTTTATTGATAGAAAATCGAGTGATATTAGAATAATATCACGTGTTCAGCTTGTACAATCGATGATTACACGAGACGATCGTTAGATCCGCAGGGATGGCGTGGGTGGCGCTCGAAAAGTGACTTTTAGTATTAATAAACAATTGATATACAATAAAACAGTTAATGTTACATATGTTCAATAATAAGTATTTGTACGTCCGTAATCATATTATTTCGACGAAATAGTTCCACTACAATAGTATGTCGAAGTTGATCCGTCGATGACCCTGAATTTTAATTATATTGGCACGGCATGGATATTCGTGGGTAAATATTGGTGTGGAAATATTAATGATACTAATTTAGTTCCCAAATAACAATATGTTGCAAGAGGCATCTCAATTTACAGGCAAGATGAAAATGTTAAAACAGCTAACATATTTTCACCAAAAGGTTATTCAGTTACGCAAACATTCCATAAGACACATCGACTACTTATAGACGGCCAAAATGTCTGAAATAAAATTATAGATAATGTTTCAGACTGTAATGTACAATATGATAGCTGGCGCGAGTTACGATGGATGCGTTGTGACGAATCACTGCTGGTAGAGAACTAATGCTAGGTAAATCCAGGTCTTCATATAAAAGGAAGTGATGAGGTAATCGTGAAAATATGCTCTTGTTGAAACTCGTCAGATAGAGAATCTACGCAGAGTGTGGAACAAGCACAATTCAGATCTAATTCTAGGCTTTGTATATCGTATTTCAAACTTTGATTCGTCCATCTGTAGGCATAACACTACCTTTAGTTTCCTTATCTGTTCTGGTATTGTTGTCGGATAAATGCACTTGGTTTCGGTTGAAATTCGTTTTGATGTTATTATTTACATTGTGGTTAGGTAAAATATAGTAAAGAAATTCTACTACCCGTCGTGTTCCACATCAATATCTTCAAGTGCAAACTTGGCATGGTATGTATATATCATTTTTATGTGAGTGATTAGTAACACCTGTCACCCTCAGCCGAGTATAGATCTCTGACCAACATTCTCCAATCTACTCTTTCCTGGACCTTCTTTTTCAGTTCCATCGAATTTCTTTTCTTTATTTTCATATCTGTCTACAATTCTCAGTGTAATCGGTCTTTGGTCTTCCTTTATCCCTGAGGATTAAAAGTTACGGCTTGTCTTGTGACGCAGATGGATGATCTCTGACCAATGGATCCGAAGTATTTTGTGTAGACATCTGTTAATGAACTTTTGTATCTTCTGGATAATGGCCCTTGTAGTTCTCCAAGCTTCCGCCCCATACAGAAGAACTTTCTTGACATTTGTGTTTAAAATTCTGATTTTGATGTTGGCTGATAGTCACTTTGAGTTCCAGATGTTTTTGAATTGTAGAAATGTATCCCTTGCTTTGCTGATCCACATCTTCACATCTGCATGAGATCCACCCTGCTCGTCAATGATTCCATCTAGATATGTAAAGGTTTTGACATCCATCAAAGCTACTTCATCAAGTATGATTCGTTCCGTGCATGCTGAGTTGTATCAGACAATCCTGCTTTTCCCTTGCTTAAGATGAGGCCTAATGCTGCTACACTAGTCATCTCCTGCATTTGTTTTTGTGTGGAAGATAGAAAGGCCAAATAATCTGCGAAGTCCAGATCTTCCGGCTGGGTCCTGGCTGTACACTGTATACCGTGCTTTCCTCCAGATATTGACGTCTTCATAATCCAGTCGATCACTTGCAGAAGGAGAAAGGATGAGAGTAAGAAACCTTGCCTGACACCGGTCTTCACCTCGAAAGCGTCTGTTAGCTGTCCTTTGTTCATGATTTTGCAGTCTAATTCATTATGAGAATTCCGTACGATGAAGAATATCCTCTCATGCACGCCGCTGTGTCAAAGGAGTCTCCATAGTGCTGTCCTATTCAAGCTTTCAATAGCTTTCTTGTCAATGAAGTTGATGTAGAGTGGTGAGTTTCATTCAACTGATTGTTCCACTATGATTTGTAATGTGGCAGTTCGGTAGATCGATTCTTACGGAATCCAGCCTGTTGATCTTCAAGTTGGGTGTCCGCGGAATCCTACATTCTGCTCAACAGGACCCTGTTGAAGACTTTGCCTGGTACTGAGAGAAGAATGATGTCTATGTAGTCCTCATACTTACTAAGATCGCCACCAATCACTTTTGATCATTTAGGTAGGACTAGATCCAGTTGTGCATTTTACGTTTGATATCCATTACTTGTTTTTAAGGTAGTAATGATGACTGCTGTGTTTGACCGGGTTCTGCCAAAATCCCGTTTCGTGGTGTTGGAAACTATCTGTGGCTCTCCATTTGAAAGGAAATATACTTGATTAAGAAGGCAGATTACTTATTTTAATCGGAAGTTAGAAAAGTCCTATCGACTGTATTGAAATAAACGAGCGAGTGTTCAGTTGTATCTGCTTCTGAAAATTTTTAATGATCTAACTGTATCTCCTATAGTACATGGAGTCAGTTCTAGGTCGGCAAGTATATGGTTGAAATATTGATTGTACATTCATACTGATTGCGTCCAACGTGTACCTGTGCAAAGGTGTTTCTAATCATCTCGTGTTGTTCTGTTTTGTCTCTTATAAGTTGGTTATCAAAAGAAACTAAAAACATGTTTTCTGTTTGCCTGCAAATGTTCGCAACTGGTTTCTAAACCGATTAAAATAAGCCACTGAACAAAAAAATTTTATTGCTGATAAATCTACTTAGCAAGTTTGATGATTTTGTATATGTTCCCAATGAAGATACATAGTAACTCTTCACCAATCAATACAGGGGCCGTGAAATGGAATAGCTAGCTTTCATCTGTAAATAACTTCTAGAGAATCACTACACAATAAATTATAATATTAATTTAGGTTCATCATTAACTAGTTATTTGCCTAAACCCTACTCTGCTTAGAGAAGGATGACAGAATTTTTATGTGTCAAATATTGAAAATAAGTTTTGTATCTTCACTTATATCTGATTACTTTTGGCACAACTTAACGACCATGTGAATCACCTTGAATTCTGTAAGGACTGATTATTTCATCTTTGTCAGTCATTATATACAAAATTTTTTGACATTGCTAGTAATCCACATGTGACTTTGTTTATGAAAATGTGTTTGTTCATCACTTGACCCGTTTGCCATGTATCTACAGCCTTCTAGACTACAATACAAACTGAGTTACGCTTGTCTAAACTGACCTGACACATCTTGCTTCTCCGATCCGCTTCCTTTACCTAGTTGTCTATTTGTCTAACCAAATAGATGAAACACTTCTCCAAAAATCATTCCCGCAATTAACTAATTTGGTCTGTTATTTACTAATGCAAGATCGATGAATATATATCGAATGAGGAGAGGCATGGCTATCCGATAAGGAGGGCCAGACAAGATACCTAGAAGTTCACCAAAAGATTTTCATCTCCTGCTTGGACTGGCTGTCTTGCAATCCACCGACTAAAATTAATATCAAATTTCACAAACTTATCCCTACTTTGTTTCTTGTAATTTCTGTTGCGCGACTGAAATGTGGGGGCGAATTTTTCCATTTTTTTAAATATAGAATTTCTTTTGGGTTTATAGTACCAGAAGGTACATTTAAACTGATATTTAACGCTTTCAGGGCTATTCGGGCTTGTGAAGTACCTTTAAATTATTCTATGCTTCAACTTTTGCAAGTTGAAGATTTTTGTTGATGTACAATCCTTGTGTTTAAACGCACCATATTCCCATCCTCTTTTTCCCTTGAACGTTCTGTTACTGTAACATTTGCTGGTCAATGGTACATGGTTTGTTCTACTAAACTTTCCTATTTTATCCGAACCATTATCGTTAGAATGGTCATCCGAAGTCATCAGTGCGATAGATTATTTCGCCTTTTCTGTGTTAAAGATGTCATTCAGTGTTACATGTGTTGTAGACGATTTCACTAAATCTCTACCAATCGGTTGCTGGTCGCTATGATAAATGTTGTGAACCGACCACAATGTGATAATTTGAAGAATGCGGCCTTCCCAAATATATTTTCCTAGATGGGATTAGCAAGGAAAAACCTTCATTAGTTATTTTGAAAGTAACAACGATTCAATCGAAAGTCGTATGCACGACTTTAACAGAAGTTAAACCGATTTCTAGTTTAATTATTTTGAAGTAACTTTGCTATACTGCGTGCAAATAACTTGGTTTTTAGCGGAATCTGTCATCAAAAATATACTGGCTTCGGGACCATATTTTACTGATTTAATGAGCAGGCTGGAGGCAAGATCTAACCAAAAAGAATCTGGAAGCACAAACTTCGATGTGATGACGAATCAATGCATCCGGACTAAGTTTGGTGACGGATGAGTTAAGTTCTAACATGACCGCTGTCATAAAAACACTGCACGCCACAGATGTAGGCTGTCTTCTAATCCTTTCAGGATATATCTGTATTGGTTATCAAGCACCAGGGCGGATGCCTAAGTTTTTACGTTACTTATAACTTTATTGTGCAATAGAGAACTGATATGTTCGGCACTTAGGATGCTTGAGGCTATTACGAGTTTACCTTAGTCGATAAACGCGAACGAGACTTTTACCAGCTCCCAGGAAGGCTACCCTGAATCCCAGAATCGAAATAGAAGACCTTGTAGGCGTAGAAGTATATTTTACAAGCACCAAGCAATCCCAGTACAATCAAGCATACAACTCTCGTTTATTTATACAACATAACAACGTCCTTGAGACAGTTAAGAAAATAGCATACTAAAATACACTGTAGCCAATCACAGCCATTGATTTTCCTGGTGGGAATTGAAATCTCAAGGTCATTTGATCAGCCCCTGCTGGCGAACGTGAAAACCGAAATACGGCATTATCAAGCGAATTTTGGGGATCTAACATCCCCAACACTCCTCCCCTTTTTAATAGCGTGTTCTCCTGTGGTTGACTTGCATCTTGACTATTGTTCGCCGCTGTCTGAGGGGATACCTTCGGGAACGAAGAACAGCTTGCTGCTGAGTTTCTTCTCGTGGCGGGGCTCTCGGTAGGTTGAAGGTATCAAGCAAGATGTCAAGGGGAAGGCTTTCTGCTCTTGATGGGCGATCTGGGGCTAGCCGTCTGCGTATCTGATTCCGATGACGTGACCATTTATCACCTCCTACCTCTACTTCGTACATAACTCGACCAACCCTTCTGACCACTCTCGCTTCTACCCAAGGACCATGGTTCGTTCTGTAGTCGCGGGCAAACACAGGGCATCCTACTTCGTAAGCGGATTGTCTTTGCTGCTTTGTCTCTACTGATGAGGGTGCATTAGTCGGATGCATCAGGCTGTGGATCGTTTTCAATCTTCTTCCCATCAGGATTTCAGCTGGGGACTTTTGCTCCGGTAATAATTCATTTGGTGTTGTCCGATAGACGTACAAGAAATTTTGTAATGCTTCGGCTGGCGTCCCCTCCCCTTTTGACTTAAGCAGTGCTCTTTTAAACGTATCCACAAACCTTTCCGCCTGCCCATTCGACTGAGGGTGGTATGGTGGCGAGCGTAAGTGTTTAATGGCTAGCCGTTGACAGAAATTCTGGAATTGGGAAGAGGTGAATTGAGAGCCATTGTCGGATACGATCACATCTGGTATGCCGTTTCGTGAGAAAATTTCAGAAAGGAGCTGTATAGTCTTAGTTGTAGTGGGCGGCATAACGGGGCTGATTTCCGGCCATTTAGAAAAGGCGTCGACGACAATTAAATACATAGTTCCATTTATTGGGCCAGCGAAGTCGACATGTATCCTGGACCAAGGATGCTCAGGTTTGGGCCATGAAACCGGCGGAATTTTGGCATTCATCTTTGCCGCCTGCTGACACCGCATGCATTTTTCAACCAACGCTGTGACATGTTGATACATGTGAGGCCAGTATGCATAACTCCTGGCTATGGACTTCATTCGTTTAATCCCAGGATGCCCAAGATGGAACTGTTTCAGCACTTTTGCACGAAGGGATTCTGGCACCACTACTCTTTTACCAAACATCAGACAATCGTTGACGATGCATAGTGACTCCCGCCGCTGATACAGTTGCTTCATGTCACCTTCAAACTTTTTCGACGGCCAACCGTTAGTGACATATTTCATCGTCATCTTGATGATGGGGTCATTTCTAGAAGCATTTTGTATGTCTGTTGCAGACACCGGTAATGCGCGAACTGCGGTTGTCAGATAACATTCTGCGTGGTTCTTCGTATACGCTTCTGGGTCATGTCGTTGTGATACCAGGTTGCATATGGTATTTAGCGGGACATCAGCCAATTTTAGCTGGTCGAACCAATCTAAACCAAGTAAATTTAGATCAGCTGGCGTTATATAGCATACCCCAGTAAACGACGAATCTCGGAAAGCAACTTTACATTCCAATTGTCCTAACAGATGAAGATAATTACCACATGCTGTACGAGGCTTTTGTGTTGTGTGCTGCAGGCTTGGGCTGCCCAATTTGGTCCAATTTTTGCGTGAGAGGATAGTGACATCAGATGCAGTATCTATTTGCATTCTACACAAATAACCGTTAATATTAAGAGTAATAAATTTCCTCTCACCTGATGATGAGCTTTGGCAGGAAGATATTAGGCTCAATGCATTGGTACTGGATCTAGGAACAGGCTTCTTGGCACTTCTGGATCGCTTTGGCTTTTTCTGTAGGCAAAAGCCATCTCTATGACCGATGACTTTACACTTCCTGCATCTATGCTGCCTAAATGGGCAGTTCCGTACATAGTGCCATGAACCGCAGTGCCAGCAAGCAGAAGGTGGATTCATTTTGGGTTTTTGGGCCGAATTGGAATTTTTCTTTTCACTAATGGAATGCACGTATGATGAGAGGCCCTTGTTTTCGACCATGGAGGTATCATGCTTCAAGTTTACTAATCTCTGACACTCTGCAGTTATTTGTTGAAGCGAGATGTTTGGGCACTGTTCAATTTTACTTAGGATTCTGGTTCTTATATCAGCATCGTCGGGAGATTGTAAGCTGCACACAAACACAAGGCACTTAAACTGATCTTCCGTCATTGATGATAATTTAAATCGTTCGCATTCACGATTTACTAAGCCAGCATGCTTTACCCAGTCATCTTCATTTGACTTGATTATTTTGAGGCATTGATAACGAATATTAAAGAGAGATGACTGTTCAGAGAAGATTTGCGACAGCGTATCAATTGTAGCATCAAAAGAGAAATCTCGTGGGTTCTTTGGGAGGATGAAATTACTATAACGTTCGTGTTCGATTGTGCCGAGCTTTCTCAAAAGGATTCTGACTTTGGTGGCGTCATCAAGATTGTTGAGGTCGACCTTGAACAAATCCTCATACTTCTTAAACCAAGACTCGAAAGTCACACCAGCAAGGCCATCAAAATGAAATTCATGAATGGAATTAACTATCGAGTCTGTATGCGGATTATATGAATAATCGGCAAAACCTCTGTGATTCAAATTCATTTGTTTCATTAACAGCTCCAACATACGTTCCTGGAACTGTTCATATCGTTTACCTTGACGTTCCAGTAAAGATTCTAACTGTTCAAGATTAATTGACATTGTGAATTGTGAGCCCCGTCGCCACTGATATGTTCGGCACTTAGGATGCTTGAGGCTATTACGAGTTTACCTTAGTCGATAAACGCGAACGAGACTTTTACCAGCTCCCAGGAAGGCTACCCTGAATCCCAGAATCGAAATAGAAGACCTTGTAGGCGTAGAAGTATATTCTACAAGCACCAAGCAATCCCAGTACAATCAAGCATACAACTCTCGTTTATTTATACAACATAACAACGTCCTTGAGACAGTTAAGAAAATAGCATACTAAAATACACTGTAGCCAATCACAGCCATTGATTTTCCTGGTGGGAATTGAAATCTCAAGGTCATTTGATCAGCCCCTGCTGGCGAACGTGAAAACCGAAATACGGCATTATCAAGCGAATTTTGGGGATCTAACATCCCCAACAAGAACATCAGAGGCACGCAATAATGGTGCATGTGAGGTTACTTGTTGTATAATGAAGTCTAGACAAGAGTTTCTAACATATGAAGGAATTTACATTAGTTCATACTTCCTTGCTGACGACTTTATCCTTAGTCGTATCCGTACTTCAACTAAGTGTGACTGTTGTCTCATCTTTAGGCATTTCAGGGCGCCACAAATCAGTTAGATAGAGCTTAGGACTTTAGTTTGATGTTTCTACATTAACGTACTGCCAACTTCTACTCAATATCTACTCATAGAGTGTGTAGCGCGAACCAAACACATTGACTTGGAATGCGATCCATCACCAGTGAACCATGTTTTTGCACACCACAGTGATAATATCGTCGACATTCAGTACCTAATCCCACTAGCAAGTGGTGTTGCACTTCAGGTTTCAGACATATAGTATACATATTGTATCTACCCCGCTCGTCCCAATATCTGGTGAGCTGTCATCCCAGCAATCAAAATGTGTTATCTCCACAAGATGGTTAGTCAATGTATATGGGTCGTTCGAAGATGAGTGGGATAAGTTTAGAGCCATAATCCAGTCTTAAACGTTCCCATATATACCATGGTTTACACTTAAGCTCATACATTGCACTCCACGAAAACCCGTGGACTGCTGAGTGGTAGGAAATACGCCTTAAATTCAGTTTTGCCATTCGGTCACAAATGTTTTAAGTGTGCATACAACAAGTTATGGAAGAATATATAATGAAGCGGCCTCGATTACAAACCACTTGACATACAATAGCTGCATTTGTTCAAAAGGTTCGTAAATTAAACACGGGACACAGTACAGCATATTAAATACGCCAAACCATCACAACGTGAGCTTCTTACAGAAGCATCACCACTACTTCGCTCTGGGCAATCCCTAAAAAATTGAACGTCAAAGAGCGAACACTCAGATTCATGCACAGTTTTTCTCATTTAGATTCTTTGCAACTTGGAATGCTCTCCCAGCCGAGGTGACCACAGTGGACAGTTTTAAGAAAAAATTCGAACCAGTCATATCCGAGGTCACTGTAAGAAGGTTCAAAACGGCGACCAGTTAGACTCAGTGAGGATTCTATTTCTTATATTGAGCGATCAACGAACGAAATGACGTAACCGTACAAATGGTATCAGCTACGTTAATGATCACTTTCTCGGAGAAACTGGATCTTCACTGGAAAAATGTCTGCTACGATTAACAAAGGTCTGCTACTGAAACTAAGACCGATAATATTGTCTGGATAACTAGTTTTCTTTATTTATTCAGTTTCGACTTCTGGCAACTGTCTCGGCTTTGCTCTCCTGTATTAGAATCTTTCCGTTCCAATATTTTTTCCATTGCATCCAATCTACCTTCTACATGGTAATGCGAGGTTTATTGGTTTCAGCAATCCTACTGACACACAACAACCGCATTCAAATGACAAGATAAACAGACTTAATAGGAGTGGTCAACTCGCTATACATCATCAAAGATCTGTAACAATGATGAGTAATACCACAACGAAGCACCAATAAATTATTTGCTTGATAGATTGGCCCAGTAATTATAATACAGGATTACCAATTAGCCGATGTAAATTTATTTAAATAGTATATCTTAATTTCTTCCACATTTCATTGATGAAAAGCCATTAGAGTAGTTATGGATGTAAACGATTCTCCTTTTGACTCAATGCATAATGAATGACGGAAAGTGTTTAACTTAGGAAACAGATCCAACTTCACATTCTGACTTTTCGAAACTGCGTGTATTAGTGATGTTTGATCATCACTAAACAAAAATCAAGCAGGGAAACTATAAATACTTTATCCAAAATAGTTGTAATGATATTGGATATTGGGCACTTTATGAACAGACATTTCAGCTGTAGCGTTACGGGGTTCCAGTTATTGCGGTTGTCTCCTACTATGTTGTTTTCTTGTCCGCCTATTAGTTTTGCATAATTTTCCATCACTTTTGTAGTAAGCGCAATCATCCTTTTATTTGTGCGTTAACTGACGTTCTAGTTTTTTATGTGTTAATAATATGAGCCTCGTCAAGTTGTCTTCTGCTTAGTTTTTATTTAGCTGTCATAGTTCTGCTTCGAGAAATAAATTCTTATTATAGCCTTCTGGGGTATCAGTCTCCTACCTATTTATGTAAACAACAGCTCCACACAAAAAAGCTGACGAAATGTGTTCTTTCTTGCCATCTAGTTGAAAGTTACTGCATATCAGTTTGTAACATGGTCATGTGTAGTAAAGTTATTCGTGTGAACTATACTACAAATCTATGAATTTTTTAAACCTTCATTGGTTGGTAGCTGACGACCTATTAGCAAAAATCCTATTCATCTACACCTATAGTGCAAGTTGAAGAGTATAGTGCCCAAGTCAGGTGCAGTTTTAATTACATATATTTGATCAGTCGATAAGACTGTGAAGCTAAAAATCATCAACTACATCATACTGGAATATATCAGCCACCTGGCTATGCTAGGCACGTCAATTATATCTCATGGTAAAAGACTACGGTCCAAAAGGCCCTCAATAACACAGATGTATATATTTTTCATCATCTCTTGAACGTTCGGTTTCCGTCTTGTTTCATACGACTTATCTCTCGACTTCAACCTATTGTGATCATATCTCTACGAAGTTTGGCTCGGACTTAAATTGTGTCAACTCATTTTCTTCGCTGTTGTCGGAACGGTACATATTTGTTCGAAACCATGTACTGTTTGTGGTTGAACCATCAGTGTAATTGTAGGCGTCAGATCTGTTTGTCAGAGCTTTTAGTACTTCGATTTAGTTCTCCAGGCTGGAATGTTGAATTACAGAGTTCTCACTAATGGTTTTAACGTTAGAATCTTAGTACTGGACTCAACGTCCATTAAGTTATGTTACTTTATTTTAAATTTGAATCCACTGTGTTAACTTCAAGTATATGTCCTGTATTCTCCTATAACCCAGTACTTTAAAATCATATCGAGTTCAGCTGTATTATCGTTTGTATCCTAATGACGCAACCTTAGTTGATTGTAAGAGTGTCACTATCAGCGATATCGGTATTTGTTTCTTCATAGCTTGCTAAACAAATCTCACAGAAATTTCTGGGTTTTGAGGTCAGGTAAAAAACTGAAATTTTCAAGGTCTAAAAACTTATTATGTGTTTCATATTCACGAATTTATAGCAGGAATAACAAATACTTCGCTGTCACATAGACAATTTATCAGTTTCCAGATGCTCATTAGATGAAGTACTTTTCACACACACACTTTTACTTTCGATCCATACTGCTATCGGAACACTTCCTTTGAATAAAGCATGAATTAATTGAAAGATAGATGTGTTTTAAATTTAATGCAAGACTCCCAGAATCATCCAATATAGTTTTTTTGATTGTTGTAGGATTTGATTTTCATCTAGCTATCACTAATCTAATCCTTAGGGGAGTCTCAGAAAGAATGGATCAAAGGATATTAAAAATTGAAGAGTATGTCAACGAAACTTTGAAAACAGATTTAAAGTATATCTACGTGCACTAAATTTACAGAAAATCTAGAAAAACCTTAGATGCTGGTGACTTGGTGTACAGTCAAATTTCAGAATACTTGGAACTAAAAAATCTGATTGAAAAGATGAAGGACATCGATGTCAGTCGAACTAACCTAAAGACTAAAGTAAACGTTGGAAGCAATATTTATGTAAATGGATTGATGTAAGACCATAATATTACTTAATGTACAGTTATTCTATCGAGCCTATTGCAGTTGATATTGGTTTAGGGTTTTACCTTGAGTGCAGTCATGCTGAAGCCTTGAACATTATTGATTCACGTATCTCTATCCTAAACGGACGTGCTGACATGTACAAGAAAAGAGCTAATTCTATAAAAGCCCGGATAAAATTGTTCCTAGAAGTGAGTTACCTGCTTTTTTTTAATTATTATTTAAGGGTCTCCGGAATCTCCAAAATATCAACCGAGACTGCTAAACGGCAATATTTTTCTGTACATATGTATCGTCAACTTGCTTAGAAAAAAGTAACAACTTGTACTACGATTATTAATAACTTTTATATTTTGAATGCTTGTTTTATATTTTGCTTTTACGGGTAATTCGAATCGAAACTACAAATTGTAGACTCTCGAGTAGTACTTCTGTTATGTACATACAGACGGCTTTTTATATGGTTCCTAACCAGAGAACATTGGGTTACTAAATAAGACCATTCTATATCTATATTTCTAATACGGCAATGAATCAGCATCCAAACATTTGTGTACCTTTATAGCAAAAGCCCTACAGGCGTTCCGCAAGAAAACTATCATAGTAAACTGGAATTAACGTCACAATTTTTGTCGTATTCGACTACATGACCAAGTTTACAGCTCTGTGTAACGATTAGTTATACTACCAGGTTAGCAAATTGGTTGGAGTACCTGTGTTCCAACCAAAAACATTACACAACTCCGTAGAAAAATATCTTTAGAAAGGCAATGTGTTGTTGACACTAAAGGGAAAAAGAAGTTAGCATCCTAAAAGTGATGAGAAAACGAAGAATAGCTAGGCAGTATTCATCAGGTTGACAAAAAGAATACAGCATCACTCCGTACTAAAATAAATACATTGTATATTTCATCAAATAACGGAGAATTATGGACAGCTGCTAATAGCACAATGAACTGTGTTGATGGTATACTTGTCAGTATGCTTTAGAACCATCTGTGATTGTAATATGAAGAAAACAGTCAATAATGATGGTTAGGCATAGTAGTTTAGATTAGTGCGCTTCTTAGCTTGGACTTCCAGAATAGCATCCATGTAATCTTCATGTGTCACTTCTGAAGCACCTCGACGCAGCGCGATCATACCCTGAAGAAATAAAAATAATAAATGATGACTAAACGATTTCTTCTTAGCAACATGCAAATATTTCTTAAGAGATTGAACTATGAGTGCCTACACACTGGTGAGACAATGAACTTGGATCAGCAGTGACAACTAACATATCCTGACGTCTTATTAGTAATTTGTAGATCTCTATAGTGATTTTCAGTTTTGATAAAGGTACTTCGTAAGGAGAGCACATAGTTTTCAGACTAGTACCAAGCAAATCTAACAATTTTGTAGAATAGTAAAGAATTAATGACTTCTGGTAATATATCATATCATTGATCAGTGGCTTATATGTATTCGCTTACTGTGACATATTGGATAAATCACATTAGTAAATTGTAATATCCTACTTAGTTGACGTTTCTTGTGGGTCTGACGACGAGACGGTTCTAACTGCTTTAATCTGAAAGTTTATTCTCCTAATTTCTCACCAATTAAAATTCTCAAGAATCGCTTGACACAGATATGTAAGAAAAACATTTTGGATTTTTACTCGGTAATTTGACAGGAAGCCTCAATGTGATTTAGCAACGCACTTAATACCGAGTTACAACTAAATTTTACCTTAAAAAAATGGATTGAACTATGACTGTAATTTTACCAAGTTATCTTTTCCATATATTCTCATCTTTCACACCAACAAATATAGGTTCGTTTAGTTACCGGGTACTTGGTAATGAACCATACTCCAAGTGTGGTGGTTGATGATATTGCCCAGTTTCTGAAACCGAGGTGGTAGTGGGGTTTGAACCAGAGCGTTAGAGACTGAAACTCAAACACCACTAAGCCACCACTTCAAGATTCCTCGCACTACTTCAAAAAATATCGACTTGGACCAGTTGAACATTTTAGTCGACCAACACACTCAGGTGAGTGTCGCGCGGTGCCTTAAGGTGGCGATTACAGGGACTAGATAAGATAGTCTAAAATTTGTTATCGTATCAAAGTTGCTTTTAGGGTTTATCTCCTTTAGACATTTTAGCGTTCTATACCTACTTTTTATACTTACCCAGTTCCTCGCACTAGTTTATTCGAGATTTCGGTACTAGTTAGTTTCCCCAAAGTATTTTTATCCTGGTCTGCGCTATCTACGACTATGTTGTTTCATGTCTCAACGAGAGACATTTGGTTAAACTTTGATTTATCACGCACTGTATGGATCAAGCTTTAAGCTAAGTAAAACAGCACAAACAACAGCTTCCATATTACTAGCTATTCAAGAAATGAATCGCAGCTACAAATGAATCAAACAAAAGCTTTTGGATGGCGAAATTTATAAAACTGTAGGACTGTTCAAATTATTGTCAGTTTGATGTTATGGTAAAAGCTAAGCAGCTAAAGCGAATTAAAATACCGGTCACTAAATACGAAGCCCATGGAAATATGATAATTCACAAAACTTACCGCTTCCACACATACGGCTTTACATTGGGCTCCATTAAAGTCATCTGTACAGCGAGCTAGTTCTTCAAAATTGACATCTTTGCTGAAGTAGTGTTTTGGTGAGAAAAAATTAAGTAACTTACTCTACATTCATCTTACGGGAGTGGATCTGCATAATACGGGCACGTGCTTCCTCATTTGGAGCAGGGAATTCGATTTTCCGATCAACTCGGCCACTTCGTAATAATGCTGGGTCCAATATATCTACTCTATTGGTAGCTGCGATCACTTTGATATCATGATTTGGTTGAAAACCATCCAGTTGGTTAAGAAGTTCTAACATCGTTCGCTGTACCTCACGATCACCAGCTTTTTCACTATTGAAACGCTTTGTACCTAAAAATTAGAAAGAAACAAAAATAAATTCTAGCCTAGCATGATTCAGAAGCCTCAGTGAATTTCAAAGGACTGTTATCCTGATAATTTGAAGAAGTGAATATTTTAGATTAGAAATCAGAGTTTGCTGTATGGGTTGATGACTGTTTCCTTAAAATATTTATCTGGATTAACTTGTACCGCCCTCCGTTTATATCCACTGAGAAGACTGCCTGACAAGATTGCTGTAGCGGCATCAAGTGTTAAGAAACATAGCAATCTGAATTGAGTATCAGGATATAAGTTGTAAAACAAACAACTAATTGCCTAATACTGCTAGCATCTAATGTAACCATTCGCACATACTTAGTATGTAAAATAAAGTCATTGAAAAGTATGTTGATGCTCAAATGGTAAACGTTAAGATTTAATTATTTTCCAAGAGACAAAAAGTAGATTGAAATACTAACACTTTAAGACCACTGGTTTCATTGATGATAGTTTTCTGTGGCCAAGGAATAAAAGCTTTGCTAACTTCATAAAGCACATCAGTGGAAGTTAGATTATAATTACGAATACTACTTTTTGATAATAATTTACAAATTGTTTGTTTAGTAATACTATAACTGTCAGTAATATTTAGCTTAGTGAAGAACACTTACGTGTATACTATTTTTGAAAACCTTTCCCAAAAATGCACTCATCATCTTTATTTCAATTTTACAATCATTTCGTTCAGTCAGTTACGGACAAGTCTGTCAGATTTTACCGACCTTCAGAGGGATACAGGCAACATATTTAAATCTAACTGGGACCAGAAACAACCTACTACCAGGTGCTTGAGGCTTAAGTGAAAAACCAACGACAGTTCCTTCTAGCCACACAACAGGCTATGTCACAGGAAGTAAATCAACTACCTCGAAAATAGAGCCAAGAGATCTTCACACTTTTATGTGCCAGACAGATACAACGCAGAACTTCGTACGTACATACATCAGTTCGGGTCGCCATGCCCCATCAGCACAGAGACGCAACTGTCAGTTCAAATCCCATAGTGATAGAGATAGTAGAGGTATTAATGGTAATAAAGAAGACTAGGGTTTGAAGATATTATTCAAGAAGTATAATTCAGTGAGATAAGGTTACAAAGACAAAGATAGAGGTGCTGACGAATCCAGAAGATTAGGATTTGAGGGAGCACAACCAATGGATGCACTTTCTCCATTGCATACGATTTTGAGCCATGTCGTTCAAGGTCTCTAACCATCGGTGACTATCGTCTCGCGGACCCCAACCAGGTAGCCTACATCTATCAAAATTACTCAGTCCACTTGTCAGTGACTACATGGATTTCTGCTATGTTTTATTCTGGCCGCCCCTAGCGTTCTTCCAATCCAGTCCTACACTGCAAAACACAGCTTGTCGCTGCAGTCAGTGGTTGACCATACGTAAAACATGTCCTAACCACCTCAACTGATGAAGTTTCACTACTTCATTTATTGATTTGCCGTCCCTACTTAGAACTCGTTTCCTAACAACAGCATTGCTTATATGGTTGTCCCATGATACACGAGCGATACTTCGGAGACATCGATGATCGAAGACTAGTAACCTACGGAAGTCCTCTACTCTTAACGGCCAAGTCTCGCATCCGTACAGTAGCACGGAGCGAACTGCTGCACAGTACACTCGTCCTTTAGTCAGAAAACGGATATCTCGCCTGCGCTATAGGTGACGCAGGTTGGCAAAAGCCAATCGAGCCTTCTGTATCCGAGCTGAGATTTCGTCAGTCACCAGGCCATCAGCACTGATGATACTCCCAAGGTAAGTAAAGCGGTCTACAAGTTCGACTACTTCACTCCCTATCACTAGTTCAGGTGGCGATGAAACCCAATCTTGAAGCAACATTTTGCTTTGCGAGGGGGAAAACCGCATCCCGAACATGCTTGCAATTTTGCTTAGGGTGGTCAGAAGACTGCATTTTGTCAGCGTCTTCACCGAATAGAACTATGTCATGGAAAAGAGTTCGACTGCAAGAACATGGCATTAAGCCATTCAAGATATGATAAAATATTAGGCGAAATAAATTATTAGCCATAAAACGATGAAGAAACGGGTGTTTTTGGATAAGGTTTCTGAACATATCTGTAGACCAGAAGACAAAAACGTCGTGACTTCTAACTAAATGAACAGACGTGTCGATGTTATTAAGTGATAGAATTTGAAATTGAGGAAAGAGCGAGTGAGGGAACAATTAGTTTAAACTGGGGGAATAAAATCTCTGATTTGGCAAAAACCCCGTGGAAAAAATTCGAATGAACTACAGAAACAACACCTGTGTTGGGTCTTTGAAAATCAAAGATGAACTTTTAAATTTATAACGCTTACCGATAGCATCAAGTTCGTCAATGAAAATAATTGCTGGGGCTTTTTCTTTAGCCAATTGGAAGGCATCTCTAACCAGTTTGGCACCATCTCCAATGAACATTTGCACTAGCTGAGGACCAGCAAGTTTGAGAAATGTGGATTTGGTTTGAGCTGCACATGCACGGGCTAGGAGTGTTTTTCCAGTTCCTGGAGGACCATACAATAAAACTCCTTTTGGTGGCTGAATACCCAGTGCTTCAAAACGATCACGATGCGTCATAGGGAGCACAACTGCTTCAATTAATTCCTTAAAAAAATTAATTTGGAGAAATTGACTTTACTTGTATCTGCTTGTCGAGGCCACCAATGTCACTGTATCTCTCAGTTGGGCGCTCATCAACTTCCATAGCCTTTACTCGAGAGTCGAACTCCGGTGGAAGTTTTTCAAGGATCAGATATGAATCTTTGTGTACTCCAACTAAGTCACCTGGTTTCAACTCTTCGGGAGGCACAAGGCCAATAACAGGGAGGAAGTAGGTTTGCCTAGTACTTGTCTTGATAACTGCACATTTCCCCTTGCGCTGAGAATCAAGATCAACGTTTGCTCCCTCTTCTACTTCATCCTCTTGAGGTTCTACATCAAGCAGCTAAGGGGATTAAAATAAAAAGAATGGTACTTCGACGACAGTAGCCACTAGATATGGGAGTGCTTTATTTAATTTTATTTTGCTTTTGCTATCCTTAACTTTTGTCTGCTTTGTGTTTATTTCATGATTGACGTGTTTCAACTCAGACTGCATAAACTAAACAACTTCAAGAAATGATATGTTGATTTACACGAATTTCAGAATCAAGCAGCCTTGCTCTGCTTGTCAGCTCTTCGGTGGACATCCTCATAACTTCTTCCACCATAGCTTCCTGAATCAAAAACATTATAACTCGCTAGAGTACTTACGTCTACATCATCCCAAACGGGTCTTTCTAGAGTAGAGGTCATGACTGTTCAAAGCGTCCGAACCTTGCGGTCTACGTGAAGGTCAGAGTGTGATTTAAGCAAACAAGTAGCCTTTGACAGTAAAGAAGGAACTTTCACTCAGTAAAATCCCTTGTCGGGTACTAAAGGATCAGGGATACTTCTAAGTAGGAGTCCGGATTTATGAAATTATCAAAAATAAAAACTAGCGTCTAATTAATTATTGTTAATTCTCGTATTTTGTGGTTCTACATGAAACCCTAATTCATTTTCAATATTTCTGAGGGGCGTACTGTTACTGAACGTTCAGTTGCCAAAGTCCAGTCAACTACTACTTGATACGACAAGTGAAATCGCTCGCGCAACTCCTTTGGTTTTGCATAAGATGTTCTGGGAACCTTACTAATTTTCCAGAACGCGTAGTTCGAGGTTGCTTTTCGGAAACCAACTAACTTTAGTTCTGGTCTTTACAGGCTGGAGATTGTATCTTAGCAATGGGGGCCATTTCGTTCTCTTGTATGTGGCCGGAGTTCGACAGGGAAGAGGATTTCCATCTAAGGAGACAGCTTTCAGCCAGTCAATGCAGATACTGTGTTTGATTTCCGTACCTATGAATTGTATAGTACTTGGGTTCGCGACGAAGAACATTGTAAGTTCCTCCGTATACGACCTCCAGTAGTCCACTACATGAGTCTCAGTGTACGTGGACATGTGTACTAAGTTGTAAGGTAGGTTGGACGATTACGTGGGTAAGCTTGAGGTCCGAGTAGAAACAGGTTTAACTGAGTCCATTGTGTACGTAGACCTGGATTATATGAGAGTTTCGATCTACATCGGTTGAGGCAAATGAAAGATGGGCAAATCGAGGAGTTATAGTGCTGTAGACCGAGTTTTGGCTGCAGTTCATCCAACGTCGGCTTCCGATGAATTGAGATTTCTGACCGGTAGGGCGACAGTCTATTGTGATACGTATGCAAACAGAAAGGCTTTCAACTGTGGGTGGAAACCTTTCTACCGAATCGTTAACTTGCGAATGGTCTTTCGGAGTTATGTTTTTTCCTATAAGCATAGTATAACATTGAAAATAATCCACAGTCTGGCATTAATGGTTGAAGGGCAACCGAAGACGTGACCGGCTGATTCGGAAGTAATGTATTTGAAAGATACAGATTCTGGTCATAGTCGAAACCATTCACAGTCGTCAAAGGTAAAAGTATACTTCTGAATCCAGTTACGGTCCCACCGGCCCAACCAGTCAAGACGAATGTGTATGAAACGAGCAATCAGAAGTAGGAGAATGGTTACGTGAGGGACAGTAGTTACTGCCTAATTACTTTAGATTTCCGGTAGTCTACACTGGAGCGCGCCCACTTCATCATGTCTCTTTCCTATAAGAAGGCCCGCAAAACCATTTCGCTGTCAGCTGGATCAGTCGATCCGGACCAACCTGTGTGGGTAAAGTTGTCGTACCCAAGGTAATTAATAACAGGCTATTTAACCCCTAGCAGGCTGTCAAAACAATTTCAAGGTCTTTCTCTATCTGTTCCCTGTTTGTCGTTTGATGCGTGTTCTTCAAAAAACTATCGATAATAACTCGTGCTGAAGATCCAGTGTTTTCCTTCCATTTTTAAGCTGGAGCAAGTTTGAGAAAGCTTGATTGTTTGGAAACTGTTTTACGGATGTTATGCGATGAAACTCTAGGGCGTTCTGGCGGAAGTGGAAGTTTCGGACATTCTCAGTGATTTTTTCTGAAGTGTCGTACATTCACAAACTAACATTCGTCAAGAGGAGTATAACTCTTTCACCTACCTCAACCTACGCCTGATTACCCCCTTAATGGAGTATAGGGCCGCCCCACCCAAGTTTTCTCCAAACCAACTCTATTGTCCGA